GATTGCCTGCTGAAAGATTTTGTTTTTCAGCAGGATTTTTTGACCGTACGATGGAACGCGTGTTCGCCATCTAGCGCCTCCAACCAACCATGCGCAAGAGAGTGCATGTGTTGTTTTTGTCATTTTCTTCTTCCGTACGATACAAAAGAAACCCACTAAAATAAACCTTGGGTTTCTCAATTACATAAAAAGCAAATGGGCTTTCGGGTTTGTCACTTAAGCCCAGAAAAACAGGAGAAGGAATAAGTCTATTTTGCATCCCTCAACTCTTGCTCTTTGTTGAATCACATCCTTCAACCGTAAAACCGGGGATAACTCCCCTCCCCCCCCCCCCCAAACAAATATTTGAAAACCGGTGCGAATTACCTCCTCTGGTGGTTTAGGAGGCGGTGTTGACTGACATGGCAACCTTGATCCCGTTGACTAACTGTGTCAGCTTGTGGGCTTCACTTGTCAGAGACTTCTTCCATCCTATTTTCATCCTCACCTTTCCCCTCTCTCTCTCTCTCTTCTCTTCCCCCGACGACCAATGTGCTGCCGTGGTGACTGTGTCCATGCCTGTGAGGTCGTGACTCTTCCAACACTTTCGATGGACGGCGCCGTGGCGGCTGATCCAGGGGGGCCCGTGTGCAGTAGTGCATCTGTCGGTGGTGGAGACCACCGGCACAGCCGGCTCTCAAGCCCTACCACTCCATAGCGTGGCCCTTGTCGTTGCTATGCTCCACGTCACTGGCATTGGCTCCTCCCCCTGCGATAGCTCTTGACCCCATATCATCGATATTGTCACCGTCAGTGTACCACTGGGTCTGGGCAGAGTTCGAAATTCCAAAATGATATTTCCGAAAATTCGGGTCTATTGGTGGACCTTGATAGTAAGTGACTCCGGTCAAATATTTCGGGTAAAAAAATTTAAAAGAAATTCACTGGATAACCCTATCTCCTCCTCAGTCACCACATCTCCCACCCCCATCTCCTCCTCAGTCACCGCTCGACACATCCAGATCCAGAAACTCCGCCACCAGAGTCGCTGCTCGACGCAGCCGGCAGCCCACCGCCACGCTACACGCCTGCACCTGCATGCCACCCCCAGCCCTCGCCTTCTGCACGCCGCCAGTCGCCCCCATCCACCATCACGTTGCATGCCACCGCATCAGCGAGCGGGCGGTAGTGCGCCTCCTTCCCACGGGCACTTCTCCTTCCAGGCGTCCCCTATGGAACAAGTGGATGGAAGTGGAATTCCTGCCTCTGTTGGGAGGGGAAGAGGAAGGGGTCATAGCACCGGAGATGCTCTAGTGGCCTCAGCATTTGGGGGTTTGGGGAAGGAGGAGAAGGCAGCAGCATCGGCACGGGGTATGGAAGAGGAAAGGGAGATGGAAGAGGAGCAGGTGGCATTGGGCGAGCAACGGCGGCAACAAAGGTGAACAGAGGTAAAGATAACATTTGTGGCTTAATCCCCTATCCTAGTTCTGGCATTGTGCTTGCTAGATTTGCTGTTAAAGTTTTATCAATTTTGGTATTAGTAATTTTGTAGTTGATGTTTTCTAATTATTTTACTGCAACAAGGATTGATATTTTGTAGTTGACATATACCTGGTAAATATTTGTCTAGGTGAGCGGTGTGCTTAATTAGACAGACAAAGGTGTGCTTAATTTAGTTAGACATTTGTCTAGGTGATTATTGATATGTGCTTTGATAAATTACTGATTTATATTTTGTAGTTGATGCCCTTTAAATATTTTTCTACAAGCTCTATACATTAATTCTCTAGTTGAGGTCCCATTTTTTTCTTGGGATAATAGGAAATATCAGTTCAAGCCGTATTTACGATGTTTGGAGCCATGGGCAAAGGGTTGGGGTGAATGGTTTTAAATGTTTATATTGCTCTTTTACTGGATCTGGTGGAGCTGTTACTCGGCTCAGGGAGCATTTGGCTGGAAAAAGAGGGAATGTGAAGCCATGCTTGACTGTACCTCCACATGTTCGGAAAGCAATGTGGGCTAACTCATACTAAGGAAACTATAAGGGATTTTAACCAAATGCAAAAACAAAGGGTTGAAGCAAATATTGTTGAATCTATATACATACCTTCAGATGAAGAGGTGCAATTTGAGATGGCATGTAGACTGTCGTTGGGGGACGGTACTTTCACTCGTAGTGTTGGTAGTAGTAGGAAGAGTTGTGCTTGGAGTACTCCTAGAATGCAGAATAGTAGATTCTATCACTCCTCAAGGAAAGATGACTTTGACATAGATTTGGCATGTAGCCAATCACCAAGATAACTACGGGTGGACACTATAATGAATAAGGATGCAACTATAACACTTGGGAAGGCTTGGGCAAAATTTTGTCATGCCAATGATATTCCTGGTAGAAAGCTTAACTGTCTTTACTTTAAAGTTGTGATAAAGTTGACTCAAGAGCATGGTAAGGGGGTGCGTCCACCTTCTGGCACACAAGTAGATGGTGTTTACCTTCAGTCGAACTATGAGGAGTTAATTGAGATAATGGATGGATTCAAGACTAGTTGGAAGGATTATGGAATTACGGTAATGTGTGATTCATGGACAGGACCAACCATGATGAGCATTATCAACTTCATGATATACTCTAATGGTCAAATGTATTTCCATAAATCTATGAATGAAACTGGTAAATTACAAAATTCAAATTTCTTGTATGATTGCATTAGAGAGGTGGTTGTCAATGATATTGGTGCCGAGAATGTAGTGCAGCTAGTAACAGACAATGGATCCAACTACAAGAAGGCTTGCAAGACGCTGATACAAGAACATAAACACATTGTATGGCAGCCATGTGCAACGCATGCCATCAACTTAATGTTAAAGGACACTGGGAGTTTGTCTCCAGTTGACCAAGTGGTCTCTAGTGCCAAAAAGATATCCATGTTTTTCTGTAACCATAATAGGTGAGCATTTACACCAAATCTTTACAGCTTGCATTCAAATCTTGTATAGAAAGAGCATCTAAATTGACTTATAGTTATTTCTTCCTCTTTGCTACATGTTATTACTTGAAAATTGTATTTTAAATGCTGGTTTGGAAATCCTAGCATGATTCACTTCACCTTTTTATTGTTTTGGCATGACCAATATATGTCAAAAATTGAGACAGAATGTAGACTTCTGATTACCTACAATACATCTGACAATGTATAGAGCAAACCACAGAACAACCTACCATTTGTAGCATTCACTTTATTTATGCAGAATTGTGTTGGCAATCTCCCACAATCACATGCCAAATGCCACAATCACATGCCATATTGTACCACTATGACTAATCTAATACATTTTATTGTTTTTATAGGCTCCATGCTGAGATGCCACAAGGTTTGGTATTGTATTTATCTTCTTTTAGGACCTAATGGAACAATTCAAAAAGTGGATGATGTCGGAAGAGTGGACCAACAGCGAATATTCTATTGCGGAAGATTATAATTACACTTATGATTGCTTAACAAGTCGAAGTTGGTGGGGAAATTTGAAATGGGTGTAGATGCTTGCAAGCCGCTATTTTGTGTACTTCGTTATGCTGACCAGCAAAATAATGCAAACCCTTTCTAGATTTCTGCCAAGAATTTTAAAGGCGAGACAAGAGCTTGAGAGTCAATTTGGTGACGCATCACAAGAGGAGAAGCCTGTATTGGAGAAGATCAATACAAGGATAACGAGTTTGCTTGACACGGGTTTCATGCGTGCAGGTTTGTAATTTTCCATTTTGTTTGCATGTATTTCAATTCCAACCTATGTGTAAATTGTTGGTGCTAGCTGAAAGTTTCTACTTGCAAATTTACTTAGCTGGTGGACTTGATTCCGAGGCCCACTACAAATACAAGGGTTATTTAATTGGCAAACCAAGCTACATATGCAAAAGCAGTATCAAAAGCATTTCAGAAGATGGCGAAAACTGAGGTATATAGAGCAATTGGCCAGTTCATGCAGTTCTGCAACAAAAGGGGCATGTTTTCCTCTAGAGCTGCTGAGATTGGATCATCTAGCTAGTACAATGCATGTACTTCAAATCTGAATTATGCGTAAATTGCATGAATTCCATACTGTTGGTTTGAAATATATTAAAATATTGTCAGTTTGTACTATTGCAGCTGATTGGTGGGAAACTTATGGAGGGGACTATCTAGAATTGCAGAAGCTTGCCAAAAGAATTGTGTCCCAGTGAATGTCCTATAGTGGGTGTGAGAGAAACTGGAATACGTTTGCATTGGTCCACACAAAAGTGTGAAACCGGCTTGGTTATGAAAAGTTACATAAGTTGGTATTTGTGCACTACAATCTGAAGTTGTGTCTCCAACAGTTTGAGATGGAAGTGATACAAAGGGAAAAGGAGGTTGATCCTTTAGGGATGATGATGGATGTGGCTCTTTATGATGAAGGGAATCCAATCATGGAATGGCTTTCTAATGCTAGAAGTGAATCTGCTCCAATACTCGATCAATATAGTTGTTCATGAGGTGTTAATCGACATGTCAGGTACCAGGTTCCTTGATGAGCCTAACCATGCATGTGCCAATAGAAGGAGAGCAAATAAGAAGAGGAAGAAGAATGCAAAAACAACGTATATAGATGAGGAGGATGTTGCTAGTGGTGATGTCTGATGACACGGACATCGACTCTGATGGTACACTACCAAACTTTGCATCTAGCCTGTAGGAGCAAAACCGTCAGGAAAATTGGTTTTACCGTCAGAAAAAATATTCTTGTAGGTGCACCGTCAGAAATTGCCGACAGAAAAATTACCACAGAAAAATTCAATTGTTCAGTCGGTTTCCCGACAGAATAATAATTTCTGACGGCCTTTTCCTGTGGGTGGAACACAGGAAAAAAACTGAGATGCCGGGTTTGAGAGAACATAGTTCTGACGAGTGCACCGTCAGAAAAATTGGCTTTCCAAGGCAAAAAAAAAAAGAGAGAGAATGCTATGCACATGCACTTCAGATTAATACACAAGTAAATTGATTTGGATATTGCACTCATGATTAGATCCATACATAATTATTTACAGCAATCAAATATTCATAGTACAATTGTGCACAGATACATCAACTTCAGTGAGATATACATATCAAAGTTTCAACTTTGTGTCAATCCTGTTTACAAACACTAAGAAAATAGCCACCCAGTGGTAAAGGAACTGCAAGTCTCCATCTATGTTACAATTTATAAAGATACACTTATAAAGATTCATATTTTATCTTTCAAGATAAAATTATCCACCAAACATTGTATGAAAATTCTGATTGATCAACACCTTTCAATCAGCTGCAAGCAAAAAGGCAACAGGTGTTGAATGATGTGCAACAAAAATAATAACTTGCAAGATATGCACTAAGATGTGGCACTTAATCTGTACCTAAGACTTCGTTGAAATTTGGCGTTCTTCTGTAGTTTTGGAATGGACTCTGCAAGATGGACAAATTGAATATGCAAATCAGCTATACAAAGAATCAGTTTAGGTCATGCACATTGGTTAGTTATATTTAGCAACACATTCAGGCAGATCACTTTACTGTAACTGATGAAGCTTTGTCTCATGACATTTAAATATAAACCAGGGAAGTTTTTTTTTAGTAGCAAGGGACTCTAATGTGGGAGTACCTGTTGTGGTGCCACTGTATTAGGTCTTCACAAAATGGCTTGAGAGAGGAAAATTAGATGGTCCTGATATAAGTTGAAACAAGAAACAAATTATTTAGATGTAAAATAGACATTATAAGCTTTGTCTCATGACATTTAAATATAAACCAGGGAAGTTTTTTTTAGTAGCAAGGGACTCTAATGTGGGAGTACCTGTTGTGGTGCCACTGTATTAGGTCTGCACAAAATGGCTTGAGAGAGGAAAATTAGATGGTCCTGATATAAGTTGAAACAAGAAACAAATTATTTAGATGTAAAATAGACATTATACACTAGACTAATCCAAGAAAATTAAGTTTCTATTATGGACTAAGTTACATAATGTAGACTAATATGGGAATCAACTTTTCTTGCTTAATATCCGGGAATCAGGGCTGTCTCAAGGGCTCTGAAAAAAAAGAGTAAGGTGAATAAAATATCATTCTACTTATACTTTTAATTGATTAACTAATTCAAAAAAGGGCACCTAAAGTCATCAGAACATCTATGTATTTCGTAATTGGCACCTAAAGGTAAAGTAATTGGCAACAATATTAGTAGACAGATGGTTTGCTACCCGAAGCAAAATAATATATTGCAAGTCAATTACCGGTCTTGAAGTCTAATTGTCTAGACTATCCAGATCAAGACAAATATCCAGATCAACTATACGGTGATCATTTACTCCAAATTAAGACAAATATCCAGATCTACTCTTGGTAATCACGTACTGCAAATCCTTGCAAAATAATCCGGAGAGCAGACCTACCAGCTGTTGGACGAGGAGGCTTGCTGGGGATGGACTGCCGCAGATCCGCTCACCTCGAGGCTAGACCTGGCGCCGCCGGAGACGGGAGCCTCCGGATCTGGAACACCCAGCCTCGGGATGGCTGGATCCGTGACCATCGAGAATGGGGCATATGGATCTGAAGACCCTGAACTTGGGTTGGCTGGCACCGCCGGGGAAGAGATGGCTCATCGATGGCACAAGGCGGCGGCGTGGTCTCCATTCGTCAAAGCACCGGCGCTGGTGCTGGATCTACTCGCGAGTGGCGATGGGGACTGCAGAAGGAGGAGAGGGGTGGCGGCGGTGGCTTGAGGGATTGGGACGCGAGGGATGAAAAACTAGGTTTTCTTATGTGGGCTGCTGGACTTCTATACGATGGATTTAGGCCCACCTGTCAGTGGTAATTTTCTGTGAGTACTAGCACAACCGACAGAACTATAGCGATGTTCTGTGGGTTGGCTGCGAAACGCACAGAAAATATCACAGCCCACAGGATAGCTCTAAAGTCTGGTAGTGGTAGTCGTAGTCCTGAATATGTAGAGTCAGGGGATAGCAGCTCTGCTAGTGAGAACATCTCTGATGATGAAGATGATAATGTGGCTGCCAAGAATAGAACCTCTAACAATGCCCAAGCAAAGAACTCCAAAGGTGTATTTTATATTAGTTCAACATAATTATATTGTTTATGTGTGCTAATTTAGTTCTATACTACGTATAGCGGTCCATCCTGCTCCGCGTTCAAATAGGAGGCTGAAGAATATCAACACCTTAATAGACAATGACAAAGGTAATTTCATGCTACTTTCTTTCAAGGAGGTATAAATTCCCTATTACTTGCACTGACAATTCCCTACTAGTACATTTTTATTACTATGGCTATGAAATCATGTTTCCCCTATACTGTCATGTCAAAATTACATATTCAGTATCTCTCTTTCTCTGTGTGTGTTTTTGTGTTCATGGCTAGCTCAAGCTGCACTGAGATTTCATTTTTTTTTACAAGTACTGTTCATGTTTGCAGGTGAAGGCAAAGTGTCACACTAGACTAGCAGCAAGTCAGAAACTGCAGCACTGCAGCTTCAAGATGCTATTAACATTATTAACAAAGTATCCATATTTGTAGTACTTATGTGCCTATATTTTATAGTACTGGACTATTGATAGAATCTATTATGCTCCTATATATATTTTGTAGTACTGGACTGTCGATGGACTGTATATGAATTTCTAGACTTTATTGTGTGTTCAAGGATATTGTATGAACTGGTAATGGACTGTTGATGGACTTATATATTTTTGGGTTGGACTGTATTACTGGACTGTTGATGAACTTTATATGCATTTCTAGACTTCAGTGTTCAAGGATATTGTCTGAACTGGTGATGGACTGTTGATGGACTGGTGATAGACTTGTATATTTTTGATCTGAACTTTATATGCATTGTATGAACAGCTATTATGATAATTTTGGCTGCGCGCGCCGCTCGTATGAACTGCTATTGTGATAATTTTACCTACCGTGTTCGTATGAACTACTATTACAATGATACAATCTTCCTATTTTGTTTTTTTTTAATTTCAGAAATTTCGGCCATAATTTTAAAATTAGAATTCAAAATTTATTTGAAAATTTCGTCCAAAATATTCTCAAAATTTCTGAAATTTTGGGATTTCGGTGCCCCCCACCCCCCACCACCACCACGAAAAAAAAGGCAAACCGATAGTTGAAACCCTAGGTCTGGGTGCTCTCCCGCACGGGGTGCCTCCACACAGGGGCGTGCCTAGTTTATACTACCCGGTGTCACAGGACACCGAGTAGATTATTCAAATCCTATATAAATTACACTATATTAATTATTATATTAGTCAATAATTAGATAATTAGTATGTATTAGACCCCCGGTAACTTTTGTTCTGGGTTCGCCACTGCCTCCATAGCATGCTCGCTGGCACGCTCCGCGGCTATGGTAGGTGGCCGTCGATCTACGACAGCCATGGGGGAGACGGTGGCAGTTGGGAGGCGAGAAGGCGGCAACCACCGGCTTGGGCCCCAGCCTCCTCTCCACCTCGCTAGGCACATCGACGGGAGCTTGGGAGGCTGTGGCGGCACGAGATGATGCGGGAGCTCGGCTAGGCAGCACTGCCGCCATGGAGCCCAACGCGGTTTGAGGCGGATAGCTCCCCTCGCGCGCGACGGTGTGGGCATGGCGAGCCACGCGGAGATGCGTTGGGGTTGCCGCGACGGATGGAGCCGCATGCTACCGAGGCCACCCGCGGGCGGCAGGCTTGATGGAGAGGAAGCAGAAGCAGCCTTTTTTGCCTTTGCAGTTGCGCTTTGAGGTTTGGTATTGGTAGGAGCAGGAGCATAAGCTAGCAACCTTGTTGGCTTGTTGGCCTTGTTCCCTTTCCTGCACTACTTTTTCACCGATCAACCCTTGAAGGCTTGCACCAAGTTATGCAGGACTTCCACACAACAACAGCATAGTATCAACGATGGCAGTAAGACGGCAGGGACTGGATGTAGGGAGGGAAGGATACGGATTACGAATAGCTTCATGGAGACAAAGTGCAAAGTCACAGAACCTCCCGTTGCCAAATAATTGGTGGAGCAAAATGTGAAATATTTGTTAGCATCTGCAGTTCATAAATTTATAAACAATCCCATGGAAGCAAATTTAGGAGCATATGTTGATCTTAAAATTCACTGCAAATCCTATGAATGAAAATATATAGCTACTCCCTCCGTCCCAAAATATAACAATTTCTAGCCATTACAATTTGTCCCAAAATATAACAACTTCTCTACCAACGTTCTCTTTTCAACCAATCACAACCTTCCACCATTCAATTTTCCCACCTACCTCCACTTCTCCTACAATCACAACACTCCCCTATTTAATCATACCATCTTTCTTACTAGTCATGTGGCTCTAAAAATATTTATATTCTGAGACGGATGGAGTAAAATTTAGTAAATAGGGACATAAGTAACCGAATCTGCAAAAATATAGAGCCTAGAGGGGCGCTATGCATAAAAAAAGCCTGGCATTCCAACAAATCAACATGTCCCGCATCTGACTCGCTTGATGGATTTAGGTTTAATGCCCATTTTGTTTTGCAGAAAATAAAAGGCCACCAACACCAACTTATTTGGGTACGCTTTCTTGGGCTTAAAAAAAGGAGGTTTAAAATACTGGATTTACTTACAAAGGCCCAACGCAACACACCAAAAAAACACCATATAGGTGTGAGTGAAGCCCAAAAACATAACTAGCATGAAAGGTACATTATGAACAGAAGGAATAAGTTTATCTGAGGTCCCTTAACTTGTCAACGAGTCCGATTTTCGTCCTTCAACCGGAAAACCAGATACAACGGGTCCCTTAACTATCAAAACCAGTGCAGATGAGGTCCCTCGGCGGTTTTGAGGGTGGTTTTGGCTGACGTGGCGCCTACGTGGCAAATTTGACTTGGTCTTCATCTGATGTGGCATTGACGTGGCGCATACGTGGCAATTCGATCCGGAAAAATAATAAACTTCATGAGACCCACATGTCAGTCTCATACATAAATTAATAAAAAAATGGTGGGGCCCACGTGGGCCCCACATGTCATTCTCAGCATCTCCCTCTCTTCAACTAGAGCCCCTCTTCTTCCTCCTCTCTCTCCCTTCTCCCATCCCCGAGGCGGCGGGCGGTGTCCGGGTGAGGGATGGCAGCTCGCCGCGGCTGGGAGAGGAGGGAGGCGGCTTGCGGCGGCCGGGCGAGGAGAGGCGACGTGCGGCGGCCCGGCGAGGAGAGGCGGCGCGCGGCGGCCAGGCGAGGAGAGGCGACGCGCGGTGGCCGGGCGAGGAGGGAGGCGGCGCTCGGTGGCCGCGCAACGAAGGGCAGCTCCAACCCAGATGTGACCATCAAGGACGGCGGCGGAGGTGGCCAGGCGAGGAGGGAGGCGGCGCGTGCGGCTACCGAGCGAGGAGGGGCGCCGCCGTCCGGCTGGGCATCGCGGGCGGAGCGGCCAACGGAGTGTATCTGTCGCGCTCGCCGACGACCTCTTCCTCCGCCTCTTCCTCCTCCGGCAACCTCCGCCGCCCGCAGCCTGCCGCCGCTCCGCCCCGCCGCCGCTCCATCCGTTGGCATGCTCATGCCGCCGCTCCCCGCGAGGACGAGGGAGAGCGAAGAGGAAGAGAAACGAGAGCCAAGAGGGACTTGTGGGGCCCACATGGGCCCCACCATCTTTATTTTTTAGTTGACATGTGGGCCCACGTGGGCCCCACCATTCTTTTATTGATTTATGTGTGAGACTGACATGTGGGTCCCACGAAGTTTATTATTTTTCCGGATCAAATTGTCACGTATGTGCCACGTCAGCCAAAACCACCCTCAAAACCGCCGAGGGACCTCATCTGCATTGGTTTTGATAGTTGAGGGACCCATTGTATCTGATTTTCTGGTTGAAGGACAAAAATCGGATTCGTTGATAAGTTAAGGGACATCAGATGAACTTATATTCCTGAACAGAACATAAACAAAAGTAGCAGACATAAATTTCTCACATTGGTGCATTTAAAATTGGGGTAGGTGGGGGCGAGATTGCTCGTGCGAGACGCCCCCGAATTTACCGTTTTCGGCCCAGGTGATGCCGGCCTGCGAGATCAATTCAGCCTGTTACTCAATTTGATCCACTCGTTTTCAGACTTTCCTTTTTTAAAATTTGCAATGGGCTTCATTATTTATCACACCGAATCGAGCATTTTTCTTACTCATGTGTATGAAGTTTGTAAAAAGTCTCTCCTAAACCAAAGTTTGTATACGTATATATGTTTTATACATCAAAAATATATGCGTATATATAAAATTTATATATACGGTATATATATACGTATGTATATACTTTCTATACATGTGTATAAACTTTATATATATGTATATAAAGTTTATATGTATGTATACATACGTATATACGTAACAGATGAAACTAAAGGGGGGAGTTGGTCGCGCGCGGATCAGCGTCCTCCAGCTGGTGGGGGTGTGGTGAATCGGGGTAACAGCCATGCTTAGCCGTTGCAGGACAATTTTGACATCGGAGTTTTTAAGTAGACGAGTTTTGTGCTATAAATTGTTTCTGCATAATACAAAGAATGTTTCAAGGGAAGGGTATGGAAAAAGAGTTGAAGTTTAGCATTCTAGTTTTTCTTTTTTGTGTTTTCTGCTCAATTATGAGTTATGGGCAAGGTGGTCAAATATATCGATTTTTTCATACGATTTTAAGATTTTACTAATTAACATGTCTAATTCTATAGAAGCAATCCTACTTAGAGCTTCCAATTCCAAGTCAGCATCGCGATTTTATTTAACTACCTTGGTATGCACTATCAGAAACTTACTTATGACGGGATAAAACAAAAACACGTCAGGAAAATTGTTTGTAACGTGTCAACGTCAGGAAAATCCTCGTCAAGAAAATTCTATTTTTCTGACGTTAGTACAGGCTCGTCAGGAAAATTAGATTTTTCACGATAGGAGCCATTATACATGTCAGTAAAATAATTAGACGTCAGGCCTAGTCCGGTTTCTGGTAGTGATGGAGTATCCATCTATCTATCTATTTATCTATGACCATTAAACTTTCTATAAACGCTCTCAAGTCACCACGTGGCATTCCTGCAAACGCTTCTAAGCCACCACATGGCACGGTCTAATCTCACAGTTGATTTTCACTTAAATTGGTGGATTCATCATTTTACACCATCAAATTGAATCTATTATTAAAAAATAATAACTTCCTGTATACGGTACAAAACGATCTACCGTTGTACGTAATTCGTGTCGTTAATTTGGGTGTTAATGAATCAAGTTGCATATATACAACGTTTTGTACGGTAACCAAATCAAGCATATTACTCAAACTTTTTTCTTGCGAACAAAAAAATGAGTTCACTGGTACATGTTTTTTCTCGAAGTGCACCGGTACATGTTTGGGCTGAATTACAGAGTTTTCTATCTTCTATCTAATTTATTTATTTATTGTATACTAAAAGTCCATTAAACTTTCTAGAATCGCTCTTAAACCGGCATGTGGCGTTCCTACAAATACTACTAGACCGCCACATGGCACTGTTTAATCTCACCATCGATTTTCACTTAAATTAGTGGTCCCAATACTTTTTATCTTTAGATTAGATGAATTATTTTAAAAAAGTAATAATTTTCTTATGTATATTGTGGGCCGGAAAAAATAAACCAAACATAAGTACTTCGTGTACGTACTTACGTAACTGGAAAAGAATCAACGAAACATACCTACTGTCACGGAAGAAAAGAAAACCTGCATACGTACTTGCAATAAAAACCAATAAAAACCGATAAAGTAAAAAAACATACATAACATATGTACGTAGTGCCATTTAAAAAAAATCGATGATGATTTTCTACTATTTAAAAATAAAATAAAATACTCTAAAAACTTACGCAAATATACATAGTTAATAAACTAAATCTTCTACAATAAAAAAATAAGTTGTCCTATCTTTGATATATTTTAAAATTATATATCTAATTTGTGATCCAGTCACATGAGGTCAACATATAATAAATAATATTATGATAATATTTTAAAGAAAAAAAATGATGAATTATACCTTGAACTATTATGCTCGATTGAATTATCTCCATAAACCCAAAAGTCAAACATCTTTCATCTTCAACTATTATTAATATTAGACAAATTACCCGCTGACTCAACCCAAGTTGGTTTTGGTCCTACGTGACAGTCCAGTTAACATTTTCTTCGAAAACAAATTGGTGAGACCCACCTATCATATATGTCCCTCACCCCTCACCCCACTCTCTTTCTTCTCCCTCCACGTCTGTCAATCGGCAAGGCTAGGGGCGGTGATCGGCGGGGCAAAGGAGCTCGAGTGGCAAGTGGCAGAGGTGGCTCCTCCTCGGCATCTACCGGCGCGTGCCTCCTTGATGGCCGTGTGGCTTCCCCTCTACCTCCATCGGCGCGTGAAAAGGACAATAGCGGTGGGGCGAAGGAGCTCGAGAGGCAGAGGTGGCTGAGGGCGTTGAGTGGCGAAGGCTTCTCCTCCTCGGCTCTCTCGGCCACCACATGCTCACTTCGACGGAGGCCATTATCTCCATCCCTTCCAACACATCTCATCATCGTGTGACGGCCGCTGGAGGCGAGGACCTGTGCTGGTCCTCCATGGCCAGGTTCGGCTATCACCCTGCCATCGAGAACTCCCCCAACAAATGCAGTCATGGCTCCATCTACAACAACATGCCATCCCACCACGGTTCTTAATCGATCCCCACCACCAATGCCTCTCTCCTGACGAGACAGAAAGCACCAATCAAGAACAACGAGGTGGATCAATCAAGAGAGCAAGAGCAATGGACAGACGAAGGAGAAGGAGAACAGCAGCGGGGCGGCGGCGCGCCTGCCCGGCCGCCCCCTGCAGCAAGGGGAGGGATAAGAGAGAGAGGCTAGGGAATGGGATTAAGGAAATGAGGGAGAGAGAGGGGAGAGGGGAGAGAGATAGAGAGGGTAGAGAGTGTGACTGGTAGGTCCCACGTATTTTATTTTCTAAAAAATGCTTACTGGACTGTTATGTAGGAACATAACCACGCTCCGGGTTGAGTTAGGGGGTAATTCTTTTGGTACTAATAGTTAAGGGTGAAAGATGTCTGGTTTTTGGGTTTACAGGGGTAATTCGTACTTTTTCTGATTTTAACAAAATTTACATCATATTTCAGATGTCAAATATCACTTGACGACTATACAATGCTAATTTAAATCTACATATGTAAAATAAATGAAAACAATACAATTTAGTTGTGTATTTTTTAAGTGGATCTGATTTGATTTTAATTTGTTAGAGATTAAGATTCTCAATTTTTTTTAATCTTTAGAATTATTTCATTAGTATCTGATAAGTGGGCAACTTAAATGTTACATCCATGTAAAAAAATTATGAAAAAAAAATCCAAGCCAATTATTCTTGCTATAATACAACCACTTAAACCATCATGAGATTTATGGTCATATGTATGTTTTTCTCTGTGTGAAATAGTTTTGATAACAAATAAACAAACAAGTAACATATGCAATAAACTATTTATGATATATTTTCTTATACTTGAAGAGTTCCAACTTATCAGGCATAATTTGATGGACGTATGCCATACACCCTATTGATGTGACTATAAAGTATACTTCAATAAATTAGTTATTCAATAAATTAGTTATTGTAAATAAGTTTGGAAAAATAGATTCATTCTCCAAATTAATTAGTAAAGGTGTCTCATCTGATTATGAATAATAGGCATTGGAAAAAAACTCAAAATTATAGATATTTGTCAAAATATAACCAATAATATGGTGCTTTGGAAATTACGGTGGTAGTATTTAAAAAAACCTTTATCCGGGTTAAAAAATCATATATAGTAGACATAGATATGAAACAACTCCAGCATTCCATAATCATGACACATGTTTTCATAAATTCAAGGTTGTACGGTTTGAAGTAATATGTCCAAATTAGATATTAACGAAAACATGTTTAAAATAGAGTCAAGATCTATTTTATAAATATCATATACACGTAAACATTCGTAACAAAAATTCAAGCAACATTAAATAAGTGTCCGCGCATACGCGCAAGCTATTTTCCTAGTTGGAGTATAATAAGTGTTTCTTTTCACAACCTTTCCTTGTGTATAGCCATATTTGCACATTTATATAGATACCAGATTTTAATTCATTATTATAAAAGAAAAAGATTGATCGATTAATCTGGGTGTACGTGGAGCACACACCTAATTAATACTCTGCACTAATATTTTGAAATGGTCAAACCACTCAAGTCACTTAAGTGCTTACTGCACTTGATAAGAAAGCATTTATACCTAAATTAACAAATCATCAATATACATCATTGTCAAAAAAATTATCATCAAATGTCATGTGAATAAATAAATTACTAAATTAATAAACAAATTTATAGTGCCTTCTACACATATACTAGATTAATAGATATCTCTAACCTTTTTATCGCGTGCTCGCCGCAAGTGGAGACGGAGGCCATCGTGTTCGTCGTGAGCTCTCTCTCCCTCTCCCTCGTTTCGCCTTCCACCTTTTTCTCGCCTCGATCACAAGCTTGCCAAGCCGCGCGGTTCATGTTGCCTCCACCACCCACTTGTAAAGCTCAATTATAAGCTAAGCTCTCTCCTCCTTATCCTCTTTTGGCGGGAAAGAGAGAAAAAGGGAAAGCTATAAAGAGAGATCGATCGGTTCGATGGCGAGAGACGTCGTCGAGGCCGCGGCGGCAGCGGATGGTCGTCATCATCACAAGGCGGTTGTTGCGGCGGACGGCGGCGGCGGCGGCGGCGCGGGGACGGCGGCGCTGGTGTGGGACTGCGGCAGCGCGCTCTACGACTCGTACGAGCTCACCTCCTTCCGCCGCCAGCTCGACGCCGCCGTGCTCTCCTGCGGCGGCAGGTCGCTGTCCATGCCGCACCTGCTGTCGTCGTCGTCGACGCAGCAGCAGCAGATGCCGGCGGGGCGGAGGAGGAGGAGGAGGCGGCGGCTGCCGGCGATGCTCCGGAGGCTGTTCGGGAAGGTGCTGCTCCGGCTGAGGTTCCCCGTGGCGTCGAGGGCGGCGAGGGGTGGCTGGTACGACTACGGCGCCCACGGCGACGGCCGCCCGGGGTCGCCGTGGTCCGGCGCGCTGACGTCGATCCCGGAGGAGAGCGCCAGCCCGGAGAACGGGCCGTCGTCGTCCCCGCTGGTCGACGACGACGGGCCGAGCGCGCTCCGCAAGGCGCAGTCGGAGCGCTTCGTCGGCAGCAAGACGGCATCGTCCATGGTGCAGTTCGATGTCGTCTTGTAGCCGACGCTGCTCTAGCTAGTCTCTGCACGACACACTACTTACGCTGTACTATATAGTACTGTTCATGTCACACCTGTAAATTAAATTAGCACGAAGTAAAAATTAGTATCAAAATCAGTCGCTGATTTAGTTGTTATGGAAAGTAGCTGCAGGCTTGAGGGTCTTCAAGCAGTGCAAACAATGGGGGATTATTGAGACATTGTTTGTTGTGGTTTGAACAATTGGATACAGGAATACAGGTGTGGAATTTTGGGAGAGGTTCAAAATTCTGGGTGGAAAATTTCTGATTTCTTTTATGTCGGTCAAGAAGATTTTCGGGACAACTGTAATTTGCCAAGTTTCCATGCGTGAATGATATATCTGCAAAATATTATTGCCTTCATATATATGAATACTATCCATGACATGTATAAAAACAATAAAATTATAATATATGTAATTAGTACTAGGAGCTTCCCAAGACAAACGAAATTTTGGAATATGTTGTTAGGTTTAAAAATTTGCTTGAAATTTTCATTCAAAAGTTTTGGAATTTGGTTATCCTCTTCTGCACCTACCACCCAGCCCCCCAAAAAATGGTAGTCTAGGGTGCATGATGTGAAAATATGAAGGCGATGGAGATAGAGACGGCACAGGCCAAATGGTTCCACAAAATGTGCGCGCGCCGACGCTCCATGTTGTGGCAGGGTTTTGAAAATAGAAGCAAGTAGCTAAGCTTAGTAGTTGGGGAGGTTGCTTTCTAGTTTGACATCACCAGTGAGGTGTGCATTTGTTTTTGTGATTCCTACGTAATGTGAGATACTACCTCCATCACAAAATGTTTGACGCCGTTGACTTTTTAAAAATGTTTGACCGTTCGTCTTATTAAAAAAATTAAGTAATTGTTAATTCTTTTTCTATTATTTGATTTATTGTTAAATATACTTTTATGTATACATATAGTTTTACACATATCACAAAAATTTTTGAATAAAATGAACGGTCAAATATATTTAAAAAAGTCAATAGTGTCAAACATTTAGAGAAGGAGGGAGTACTATGCAGGCAGTTAGGGGTTGTGGTGTTTGTGCTAATCTTGTTTTATCTGGCGACTCCTCCGGTAATCGTCATCGCCATGTTTGAATTCGGATCACGTAACTAATTAAACATGTGAATGATTTCATGGGAAAATGATCTCATTGAAGGATCGGGATCCAGACCGGCCTTGTGCCGGATTACATTTTTATGAATGGTTCCGCTAAAACTGTCGCCACTTTTCCGGAATATATAAATCTCAGTGATATTTTTTGACCGTACTTGCTTAGTATAGGTAGGAAATGTTGTGCCCATAATCATGTTTTTCATGATGAACTTTAAGCTTCTCTCTCTCTCTCTCTCTCTCTCTTTATCTCTCTTGTTTTTTTTCGTTTCTCTTATGTGCTAATTTGTACCATAATACATTTTGTTCTTAAGTAGGTCATCAATCATTTAGAGTCTTAGTTCTCATACATTGAGTTTTACAACAAAAAATTGCATTGTTAAATTTGAAATTCACAGGGGCGGTGGCCGCAACGTCACCAAGCTCATGGCGGAAGCATTGAGGGCGACAATGGGGAAGGTAGGAGCTAAAGGTGATATATAGGGGTGTGGGGAGGACGGTGGAGGTGGAGGTGGAGGTGGAGACGCATTAGAGGAGGAGGTGGGAGATAGACTGAGGTCATCGGAGTTGGAGTCGGAGGGGGTTAGGAGATGGATGGATGGCCAACGATTGGAGATCTGGAGAACTGGGGCTCAACCGGCAGTGGGTGGAGGAGAGGAGGAGGACCTGCTGTTGCACGGCACCCTTAAGGCCACCATCCTCGGTGGACCACCTCTTCAACCCAACCCGCGCCACTAGTGGTGCCCCCTAGGATCTTCCGCAATGTCAGTTGATTGCATCCATGGGAGATTCCATTTTCTTCAAGCTTAAAATTGAATTAGTTTTCTTAACAGTAGACTTTGACAAGGGGGTGACATGGCTATACTCGATGATCACCCTCGGCCAGGCATGACTGGGGGCAAATGTGGGTCATCAACAACAAGGTGGTGAACCCACGGTGGTACGTACGAGGAGTTCCACATCTACTCAGCCCACTTCGCTACCAACATCGTATTCTCCGTCAATGCTGCACAGCCCATCGGTGCCACGCTCATCGCCTGCACCTACCTCCCCATTGAGCTCCTGTCCAGCCAGGACATTGAGCGCCATCCCGACATCCTCGATGCTAGCAGGAAGAGGATCTCATATGGGTCGACAATACATGTCCAGCTACAGTTCCACGTCTGACCTTCTCCTCATTGACATAGATGCTAGGGCAATGGCTGGACGTCGATCGAAGGGGAGAAGATAGGAGAAAGAGGGGCAGAGGAGGAAGAAGGGAAATTTCAATGACAAGTGAGTCCCATTTTTTTTGTAATTGTAGCATGTAACGTGAGTGTGACGTCAGCCAAAACCGCCATCTATAACCACCGAGAGACTCAATTTGCACTGGTTTTAGAAGATGAGGTTGCGTTATATCTGGTTTGTGTGGTTGAGGGATATAATTGAAACTCGACCCCTATTTGATGGACCTAAAGTGGATTTTTCCATTTTAAAGGAATAAGTTCACTTTAAATCCCTTAATTTATCACCAAGTTTGAAATTCGTCTCTAAACTATAATGCCAGGTATAACACACCCTTAATGTGCGAAACTGGTGTACTCGAGGTCCCATAGTAATATATTGCCCGGGTTGATGTAGCGGCTGAGTTAGTGTGGGACCCACATGCTAGGGCAATTTAGTCTGGATTAAAAAATAAAAATTAGTGGACTCCACATGTCAGTGACACATCCTCTCCTTCTCTCTATTTCTCTCCCTTTTTCTTGGTGGGGTTGGTGGGAACAGGGTGTCGGTGGCGTGGGAGCAGGCACTGTATGTGGCACGCGAGGGCATAGGGAGTGGGCAGCGGCATGGAGGATGAAGTCGGCATCGGTGATGAAGGTCGTCATCACCTAGGGAGCCCTTGGCCATCGTGTGCGCTTGCACCTGCCTCCCCTCCTAGACAGCCCTCCTAGCGACGACGAGGTCGAGAACCCAGCCGTAGTGCTCCATGGGAGGGTCCAACCCCGCTACCAAGCGGGTGGTGAGTAGGTGGAGGACCTCCCGCAGGTCGCCTTCCCTTAAGAATGACAACATCTGCCACTGGAGTGTGTTTGGGGATCGAATCGTCTAAGCAGCTAGAATCCGCCCTCATCACCGAGGAGTTGCGATAGAAGATCAGCAGCAAGGGTGCCGTTGTTCCGAGAAGATGGACATGTCACGAGATAAGGCCATCATGGGGGCCCTCTACGTCGAGATCTCGCCTGCCCCTCCGCACCAGCCCTCGCGACTCATGGATGGTGTAGGCACTAGACAACAGGCATCGACGTCGATGGCCGAGTCCACCGAGGCCATCCCCAACCTCGTATGTGCCACCTGTGGCAAGTCCTGCCGCTCCCAGACCATGAGATCCCCTTGCCCGCCCCCCCCCCATCCATGGTTCCCACCAGTAGCAGCCGCTCAATCCACTGCCACCCCTTTTCCATGACAAGGTGTGCCCGTGCAGGACCAAGCCTCGCTCGCACGGCCTCACCCGACCACCGCCACCGCACAAATCGAAGCTGGACCAACTTCGGTTGCTTTCCACCGACCATGAACACCACCTTCCAGGGAACACCTCCGCCTCATCAGTGCTGCCACCACTACCGCAGTTGCTTGCTGGCTCATCAACACTGCCCTCCATAGTCGCCGCTTACATCACTAGATCGCGATTTCGCTCCTTTCTTCAGGTCCCTCGGGCAGAACAGCGGCGGTGCCTGCGCGGAAAGGGAGAGAGAGGAGGAGGGAGAGAAACAGGGAATGAGAGGGGGGTGATGACGTGGGCCCCACTACAATTTCTTTTAACCGAACACTCACTGACATGTGGGTCCCATGAATTTTTTCTGACTTGAAGTACCAAGTCAACGCCACGTCAGTCAAAAAACAGTCCAAAATACCTTAGGACCTTATTTGCACTGGTTTTGAGAGTTGAGGGACGCGCCATATTTGGTATTACGATTCACTAACGAATTTTAGACTCCACAACAATAAGGGGCCTAATGTGAACTTATTCCTATTTTAAAACTTGCTGCAACTTTCAATCCCGTCGAAAAGAAAAAGCCCACAGAACCACGCGCTCGTTAGCCTCCTCGTTCCGACGGCCCATGTGATGCACATATGGCCCATATTGCCTGGGAAGGTGACACTATCACAGCGGCGAGGCCCACTAAACTCGAGCTCAGCCTCTCTCGCTCGTCACCTCTCTTCTCTCTCCGCATCTCCCGTCTCGCTCACGCCGCCGGTCGCCGCCGGCAGCCTCAATCTCCGCTGGCCCTTCGTCGGCTGAAGGATCAAGGATTCAAGGCCCTGAGGTGGTATGGCGAGCCAGGAGAAGCCCACGCCGCCTCAGCATCCGCCTCCGCCCCCACCGGCGCCGGAGGTCGCGCCTCGTGTGCGCGGGTTCGGACGGGCCCACCGGGCGACGGCGGAGGTGGTTACCCTAACCCGCCGGACGCGGCGATCCCCGACGCCGCGACGCTGCGGGAGCAGTGGCTGTTCGCGGTGCGGCAGTACAGCAGGTGGTACTCCCACGCCTGGGGCACCGCCATCCTCGCCGGCGCCGCCTTCTTCGGACTCGGCTGGCTCGTCAAGGGCTCCAACCCCCTCCCGTCCCGCGCTGAGCCCCACGCCTCCAACGCCAAGGAGGAGGGCTTACCGGTGAGAACCCCCTCTGATTCTTGCCTTTTCAGAGTTATTTATTTCTTTGCTTGAAAATAATGGCGAGTTCGAGTTCTTGATCCGCTGGTTGATATTCCCATATTGGAATGGAATGGGGTGTTGGATAGCAAGACTATATATGATTCTGCTGAGTTAGTTTCGATATGATTGGACTGGTAAAGACAAAAATTGGTGGTTTTTTGTGTTTAAGATGAGTAATGAGTTCTAGGGAAGAGTGGGGTTGCTACTTTCTGCATACTTGCAAATTGACAAAAGGATGCTGTGAAACGCATGGGTGTCGTGAAAAAATATTGGCGACACTAGTACTTTATGCAGCTCATGACCATTTAGGTTTGCAATGTCAACTCCTTAAATCTGGTTGTTAGCTTCCAAAAGTTCCATATTGGAAATGCCAACATTGAATTTGGAGAACTATCTGACAAGAGGGATGAGCTATAGAAACATTGACCTTTTTATATAATGTTGAATAGTAGAACATGAACAAGTCCAGTCCTCTTGTATAAAGTTGCTACCAGTTGCTTCAGATTCCTTTAGTTTATAGTAGAACAAGTTAAGAACTTTGTTCTGTTAAGTTTCGACTTAAATTTATCAGCATTGATTAAATTTTTGCTTACAATGGTAATTGGTCCGTCACACATAACTAGAGAACTGTTTTTTGTAACTTTGGCAATCCATCGCTTCCAAATAGCTTTGTTTAAACATTTTTGGTATTTAGTGAACAAGTGAGCATCTTAATTCTACATAGTTGTTTTAAGCGTTATGGTTTCGTGCAATGTTTTAGAATAAGGTCTACAAGGCCGCATACAAGGAACGGGTGCCCCAACCTTGTACCGCTTAAGCCGCATAAGCGGCTGATTGTACCACATAAGTGTCCAATCATGCCACATAAGCGCTACAAGGTGGGGGTGACCGCATGAAACTGCATACTGCTTTTTAAAATATTGGGTATTGTGTGAAACCCTTTTTTAGATAAGTTTTATAGACAAAATACCACTAAGCTATAAGAAACACTGATTTGATTTGTTTGTACAGTTAGCAAGAGCAAACAATACTTGGAAACATCCTACATGTGCATATAACTAAAGCCGAAAACATCACCAAAATTAGATTTGAATTGTTGATTGCTTTTCATCAAACCAATTGAAAGACTAGCAATTTTGCTATAAAATTTTGAAGATCGATTATCCGATCCATGCATGTTTTATATTTTATAAACTCATTTAATGAACAGTTCTGTATATCAGACATTCATATGGTATAGTTATTGTACTTTCTGTGTCATTGTATTGTTTACCTCAGTCTGCAATAGATATGTATGAATAATGATATGTGTTATTTGTAGGTTGAAATCGTACATGACAAAATATGTACAAATGCCACTACTTTTCATTCAACTTAAAACACAAAGTCATTTTTGGTGTTCTCTTGTTTATGGAAGTTTCTTTTGAGCAGAAAGTCCTTGCAGGCGAGCCCTCCCCGCGTGTGAGCCGCAGCCGCCGAGCTTGTGGAGCTCCATCTCGCTCGCTACTGCCGCCATCCACCTGAGGGTGAGAAAGAGAGGGTAAAGAGGAAGGAGACACGTGGGCCTAAAATTTATTTTTGTTGTTTTACTCCACTGACATGTGGGTCCCATTTAAGGCTTGGTGCCACGTGGATGAAGACCAAGTCAACCTGCCACGTGGGATAAAACCGCTCGAGGAGTCGATTTGCAATGGTTTTGTAAGTTGGGGATGGGTTATACCTGGTTTTGCAATCGAGGGATGTGATTCAACCAGGGACATGAGCTGAGGGAAGCAAAATAGACTTATTCATTGATATTACACAACGAACCAAGAAACTATGCATGCAATACAGGGTACATTATCTTAGTACATCACATGAATGATTTCCAACAGATAGAGTGACTGGGGAGATATGTGATGGCTACGATGTTCACTGATCATCTTTGAGGTGAGAAGGGAGCATTTTATCTTCGGCCAATCTTTCGAGTTGAAGGGCGGGACGGCTGGGATGGATGCTGACGGAGTGCAACAATGCCGCCTCCGCCTCCTTGACGTCTTCTTCTTTGGCTAAGTGGCAGAGCACAAAAACCTTTACTGTGCGAAGAGAACTCGGGAGGTGCTCCAAGCCAATGTCAAAAGCAATTTTCCTGTCCTTGAAGAAGTGCACGTCCAAGCTGAAGTGAAGTAATTCCAGGTATGGCATGACTGAGACAGGTGTTGTGACGGCAGCACTAGCAGCAGGAGGTGGTACAAACCGGATGGAGGTCGTGGCCATCGTGCAGAATCTCAACTTGCGGAACAACAGGGTGTCATGAATCCCAATTCTTATAATTGCATTCCCCATCGCAAATAGATCGAGTCTGCGGAGCATTCGCAGCCTGCCAAGGATTTCCATGTCCGCCTGTCGCAAAACCTGCAACGACAGGGACAGGTTGCTGAGGTTTGGCAGAAGTGACGGATTAATCCACGGCGGCAGGCTGGTGAAGGTCAAACACCTCAGGCACAGGAACTGGAGGCATTGAGGAGTGACGAATCCTTGCTCCCACGGCACACACTGCCCCACCGCTGCCCAACGGTCAAAGGCGTGCATTTTCTGTATCTTGGGCAGACTTCCTAGAGACTCGATAATGTCCGTTGCGGGGGCACCCTCGAACTGAGTACAGAGCACCCTCAGATCCTCGAGCTTGCCCAGCTCCTTCACAAACTGCCCTGCAGCTGCAGCATCAGGCCACATCCACAACTCTTGCAGGGACGTCAGGTTCCCGATCCAATCCGGCACCCTTGTTTTAATATCGGCTTGTAGGCACAGCAACTGTGTCAACTTGCCCACGCTCGACGGCACTTGCTCTATGCCAGTCCCCCACAGATCCAGCGTCTCTAGGAACCTCAGACGTCCCGCTATTCCATTTGGGAGCTCAGAAAGAGGTGTGTACGTCAGTGCAAGGTATCGTAGGTGAAGTAAACTGCCAATATGCTCCAGGCCGTGAAGGTCCTGCAATGATTCACAATTTTGCAGTGCCAGTACACGCACAGCTTCAAATTTCGCCGGTGTTGGCAGAACATCTATGTATGACAAACCATTGGCACTAAATGACCGGATTGTCACTTGTGACTGTGCCGTTCCCAGGTTCACCACTGGGGGTAATCCATTCTTGCTGCTTAGGATGGCTATCCTTCGACCATAGCCCTGGTGAGATGTGTTGTATTGTTCTATACCCAATACGGTGACAAAGTTTTCACTGCTTGACAATGACCGGATCAGACCGAGCACCATGTCATGAACACGACAGCCTAGTATGTAGTCTTCATTCTCTGCCTCTATTGGCATGATCATACGTCGTTTTACAAGCTCGTTGAAGTAACCCTCTCACACCTCATATAAGTCTCTTCCTTCTTCCTTACAGACAAAACCTTCACCTATCCACCTCCATATCAATGTTTGTTTACCAATTAAATAATCCTCTGGAAATGCGCTCAAGTACAATAAGCATGTTCTTAGATGATAAGGCAAATGATAGAAACTAAGAGACAATATCTTCATAGTATTATCCACATGCCGGTTGTCTTTTGCGCCAAGAGCAATTGACCGATACAACTCAGACCAGTCCTCCCTTGGTTTACTCTCCAACAAACTAGACGTTGTAACAATGGCCAATGGTACCCCTTCACATTTCCTCAAAATTTCATCACAAACCTCTTCCAAATCATAATCATCATCGGGGCATTGGTCTTCACCACTTAATATTCTTCTATGCAATAACCTTCTCGAGTCAACATCAGAAAGGTGTTTTATTTCATAAACATGACCGACTTCCTCAGCAATTTCAGAAATACGAGTAGTTATGATCACTCTACTTCCACAACTACTGTCTCCCAGGACTTTTGCAATCATGTCCCAAGCATCGAATTTCCAAATGTCATCAATAACAATGATGTACCTATCAAGAAAACAGTGCAAGAGTTTAGCAATGTATAAATACACGTTTTGCTCCTATAAATACAAGAAACGTGCCAATAACGGGAAAATGGAAACAAACAAACTGGTTTCATCTCTGAACCCTGATCAACAAATGCATCATCATAACGTATACACGAGTGATTTCATGAGCAATACTATAATGTTGTAAATATGTACAATGTTATGATGATGCTTAGTTTTTTTTACTATAGTTAAATTAAGTATCTGTTCTATCAGACCTTAAATACAATTTTGTAGTACATGCTTTTGTCACCACTTATATTAGTTTGAGAGACAAAGTGGAATTTTTTTATGATGATTGTTGAAAGTAGTTTGCCCTTCAGGACAACCCAAAAATCAGATTGCCTATCCATTCATAGATCAACAAGCCAACATTTAAAATATACGGAGTAGTTCAATACCACTCCACCTCAAAATATAAGGTCTACAAGGTTTTTACACAGTCCCTAATGTAAAAGTTTGGGCGTTAATTTCTTACATGATATATTATCAACAACTACCAGATTAACATCATACGAAAGTACTTCAAAGTACAAATCTATTGATGTCAAATATCGTGAAACTAAAGAACATATATATTGAGAGTAATTTTTACTAGTCAAAAGTTGAAAATGCCGACTTCTCTTAAACAATGATTCCTTATAATTTGGCACATACTAGGTCGTACATGCTTTTGTCACCATTTATTAGTTTGAGATATAATTAAAGAGTTATGTTTGTTGATGATCGAATTAGTTTTCCTTCAGTTATTGAGAAACCCCTACCAATAACCTCCAAGCTTGCGAATAGAGTACTTAATTACCAGCTAATAAAAGTTAACGAAATGGAATACAAAAACATTTTGCCGCAATTTCTATAGTAAAAACTAAAGAGAAAAGAAGTTTATACAACAAAAACATTATCTAGAGGTGATGTTTAAATCTCCTTTAAAATCAAGATTTATATACCAAGTAAAACAAAATTCAGGATTTCTACAGAGCAGAGACACTTTTTAGAGGAATTTCAAAAATTTCCTAGAATACATTTACCCAAAGCACATGCTCTTCTATTTATTCCTATAGAGGCATCATTTTGGCACTCTAAAATTTGCTCGTGCTTGATTTATAGTACCATGGTATGAAAGTATAATATGCGAGGGTAATTAGAATAAGAATCATGAGCGCACCTCTTGTTTTCAAGGAAGTCGTAGACCTCGTTCATGAGTAACCTTACATCCTTTTTTGTGCTATGGATATTGTCGAACTTTTCCTTGTCAAGATCATTTAGAACGTCCATGAAGACCCTCTTCAAGTCTTGATTCTGGCCAACTGGCACAAATGCCGAGCATTGGAATTTCCCCTTAACACTGTCGTACACTGCTCTGGAGAGAGTGGTTTTGCCCATTCCCCCGGATCCAACAATGGAAACTTTTATCATCTTCCCCAAGGGCAAGTTGTCACCCTCCAGGGAAAGGATCTTTATGATGTCATTCCTTGTGCCATCAATACCAACAAGCTTTGCCGCATCTGTATTCGATAACAGGATGCGAGGATCATGGGTGGACAATTGTGTGGCAGCTAGGTTAGCCTGAAGATCAGAGGCTATGTATCTTTCACGCGCCTTGGACACCTCCTCTAGTTTGGTGTTGATGTCTTGGACGACGCCAGATATCTGATGGCGAACCTTGATCTTGGTGAACAAGCCGCACATCATGTGCACAAGCCGTTCGAGGCAACCGGGGTTGGCAGGCACACTGCCATCTACACGCACCAGAAAGGCGTCGATGACGTCCTCCATGTCATACGACAGCTCCCGGACTTTGCTTGCCCAAATCCTGACCTGCTCATCAAGCAGGTCGGGATGCATGCTGCCAACCTTGCGAAGGGCAGCATGCATGTCCTCGAGCTCACTCTTGAGAAAATTGATTTTCTCCCTAACGCCCGTTTGCAGCTTGTACTCCTCTTTGAGCAGCTCGGTCAGTTTGGGGACAAGGCTCCCCATCGCCTCAGCCACCAGCGCCATGGCTCGCTCAACTTGCTCTAGGTGTGCGTATCAGTAGTGTATGGTACGCTCGGTGGGATGGCCTGCTGCCTGCAGTGGGGGAGTAGAGGTATATACATTTTTCTTGCATTTAAACCCTAGCTGGCCTGGGAACGAACGCTGCGTGCACCTCGATGAAGGTCGGAAGCTGTGTCATCGATCCGTTACTTGCGGGTGGGGCACGTGCACCAACCGGCCAGCTGCTCTCAGCTCATCACGAATTCATCGATATGCATGTCAGAAAGTCAGATCATCACGATCCAGCTGCTCATCAGCTTCCTTTCTTTTCTTGACGTACTAAAAAAACGAAACCAAGTCTTAAACAAATATCATCGTGATCCAGCTGCTTAGCTTCCTTTCTTTCTTTTCAGAAACCAAGTCTTAACTAAAGGAAGTCAGATCATCACGATCCAAGTGTTCAGATTCCTTATTAATTTTCTTGACTGAAAATCACAAGTTATGTTTTTCCTTTTCTTCTTGACTAAAACTCTGAAGTCTTTTGGTTAATAAATTGTTGCCGTTAATCCTACAATAAATTAGGTTTGGTTACTCGTGTTCGATCCTACACAATATTATTGCAAGTTTTTAGTTTATTAAGCCTTCAGAGTTTGTAGGATCAACGACAATAATTTATTTACACAATATTAACGAACACAAGTAACCAAGCCTACTATACAAGCGTGAATGGTAGATTACGTCCGCGGAAGTCAAATTATCGAACTTTGAGAGATAAAAACATACCATAACCTCAAAAACTAATGGAATAGTATGGTGGTCTATCCAACCTACTAGGGTTAGTTTGACCAAGGCCTGGCCTATCTGACTGCAAGTCCTCTCACGGTCTAGCCATCTGCGTGGAAATAGCAAGACAGTACTTCTATAAAAACATGATTTCTCCAATACCAACCGTTGGATCGTGCTTTAATCTTCATAAAAAAATAGACAAACCAAGGAACAACTCCACCAAACAGATTTTCAAACAAATAAACAGTTTCAGTGTTTCTAATAAACAGTTTAAGAGAAAACACCCTGAAAGTCAGTTGTGTTAGAATTTCAGTAAATCTTAACTAAACCTAAAACTTAAGCAAATTCGAATCTAGCAAGAGCCAATCAATAAAACCTTCTAGGTCTGATCAATGAATTATTAAAATGGTTTTAGATGCGTTAACTTGAACAAAATTGCAGCAAAACAAACAATCACAAGTGAATATCAAAACCGAACAATAACGTGAAACTTACAAAACTGGAAGAGATCGTCAATGCCTTAATGATTGTATATGATCTTTAATGCTTAAGTATTTGTTCACAGGGTGCAGCCACAACACCCTCATAAGTTTCTCACAAAACCGTAATTCAAATGCTCTCGACTCAGTAATCTCTCAAATTTAACTTACCCTCAAGACATAGCCTCCCTATCTATTTATACAAAAACTTCTGACTCAAAGTAAAACTCCTAGTTAGGACTCAAACACTCAATTTCCAAACTTTTTACAGTTTACCAATTGTCACTCTTTATTTCTCTATCAAACACGCAGCCACAGCCAGCAACAGAAATCCCGGCTCTGGATCGGACACCTCTGGACGATCGACACATGTCCCTAGCATCTTGTTTCTATTTCACATGATTAGTTGCTAACGTTTCAAAAGATTTGAAATTTTAGCACCATTGAGAACATGTTGGTTTTCATCATCTCACTAGAATTAGTGGTTCGGATCATGTTCGTGGTTTTCATCACCTCTGAACGATCTTTATTTGGTTTGTTCATCGTGTTGTCATGTTAAAATGTTTGCTTCTTCACATGCTTCTGATACTTCTGTGATGAAGAATACAACAATAGGTTTGTTGACGGAAAACACGGCGGCCTGGGAGATCTGCTTAGCTCCTGTATAGGTCCAAGGCTGTGGGGATCCCTGTTGGTATTTCTTAACGACATTACTAGAAATATAATTTTCAGCAATGGCGCAGAAATACTTCTGGTATATTATGTTTACAGAGTTTATGCGCAAGCGCACGGATATACCATTGTAGCATTTCACCCGAGAGTATTCCAAGGGTATCGTATTTATTTTATCCCGTGGGAAGATCATGTAGAGAGAACTCAACTAATAATTTATATATTACTTGTGATAATCATATTCTAAGCAGGGGTTATGATAATCCAAGGGTAGAATGACACACAAGCATTTCTACTCATCCTCATAATAAATAATCTAAGCTAGGTGGAAAGAAAAGAGAAAGAGAATCTATTCCTATACTTCTAATATACATAGTATACATACATTCTAGTTAACTAACATACTAGCTAATACCCTCTATCCGATTCTCTCCTGGTACTTCGAGAAGCCACCCCTGACTGTCGAGTTCCTTACGGCAGCCCGTCATGACCATCTAACCGGGGCTAAATACGGAGAAATACCCTCCCAGGAAATTAACTTAGGATTATATATAGGCGCAGAGGAATACCCGTACTGAGCTGTCACCATCAGCGGCCCACCTCTTATCCACAATATAATAACCCCAAATAATGATATCCCGTAATCTAGACACCACGCCTAAACTGCCAGATACTACTCTAATATCATCGTCATGACATAGAGTAATTGCATAAGCAAACATTATACCCGCACTAAAGCATCTCCTAGATAAGCTAGCCGTATATTCAGTATAACAAGAACATAATGTAAAGTTGGTACTCATATACTCGGAAAGTATTTCAATACCAGAAATATATTTAGAAGAGTATTCTAATAAAAGTACAAAGCTTACAAAAGAGGAAAGGAAAGCTACTAGAGCCATACACGAACTCTTCTGAAGACTTCCGGACTCCTGATTCCTATTCTAATTCTATTCCACCAGCTAGATACTACTAAACTAAACTTGAGAGGAATGAGAGAGTTCTTGCTTGAGGTGTGTGTTGAAGTGAAGAGAGTGAGCTCCTTATATAGAGGTAGGTATGACGGTTGTAGAAGGGGAATTGTCCGAAGTGCCCTCCAACCGTCATTAGGATGCAATCTTGGACGTCCACGCCAAAACCAGGATCCAACGGCGCCAGGATTGGTTCGGCCGAACCTGGGGCTGGCCCAATCCAACCCAATTTCGGCTAGTGGCCTCCTCTATTGCTCCACTCTGCAGACTTGTGAATTTTGGTCCAATTCATCGTGTCAATTCTGAGTTCTTGGCCCATTCATACATAAGTCTGGTCCTCGACATCGTCTGATTGATTTATCGTTGACAGCTGCCCGGCGTCGTCGCCGGCGGCGGATCCATCTCCCCCACCGCCCGCCGTCGTTGCCCCCACCGGATCCGTCGTCGGCTGCACCGGAAGCGTCGCCCCAACCGCCCGGCGTCGTCGCCTGCGGCGGATCCGTCTCCCCCGCCGCTTGCCGTCGTCGCCCCCGCCAGATCCATCGGCGGCAGCACTGGATCCGTCGCCCCAGCCGCCCGGCGTCGTCGCTGGCGGCGGATCCGTCTCCCCCACCGCCCGCCGTCGTTGCCCCGCCGGATCCGTCGTCGGCTGCACCGGAAGCGTCGCCCCAGCCACCCGGCGTCGTCGCCTGCGGCGGATCCGTCTCCCCCGCCGCTTGCCGTCGTTGCCCCCGCCGGATCCATCGGCGGCGGCACTAGATCCGTCGCCCCAGCCGCCCGGCGTCGTCGGGGGCACCGGATCCGCGCGGTGCGGCAGCGCCACCCGAGGCGGCCAAGCCGCCCCCGCCGCCGCGGCGTTGAGGAGGGGGGAGGGTCGCCTCATCGTCGTCGTTGTCGGTGGCGGTGAGGAGGGGATGGCGGGCCGCCGAGCCAAGGTCGCCGAGCCGCCGCCCGCCGCCGCCGTAGCCGCGCCGCCCGCCGCTCCCTATGGCGGCGGATCCAGCCCTCCCGAGGGTGGCGCCGTCGGATCTGCAACCCGCTGACGCCATCGACGCCATCACCATGAAAAAGTTGCCAAAAACAAAGTTATAGAACTCGTTGAGATCTACCAATTTTTTTTTTGTCATTTCTCCATCCGAGTTTGATTGAACTATATAAAATTTGAACTTTATAATATAAGAAATTCAACTAATTTTTTCACATAGTAAATGATTTCAAATAGAAAAGTTATAAACAACAAAGTTGTATAACTCTTCAAGAGCTACAACTTTTGTATTGGTCTTTTTTCTATATGACTTTGTTTGAACAGTTTGAATTTGAATTTCAAAATATGACAACTTCAAACAACATTTTCAAATACAAAATGATTTCAATTGAAAAATTCATCAATAACAAAGTGATATAACTCATCAAGATCAATAACTTCTATTTTGGTCATTTCTTCATCCGATAAAGTGATTTGTTAGATTGTTCACAATATGTGCATCTCTTATGTATGTACATATTGTGAACAATCTAACAAATCACTTTCTCGGATGAAAAAATAACCAAAATAGAAGTTATAGATTTTGATGAGTTATACAACTTTGTTATTGATGATTTTTTCAGATAAAATCATTTACTACTTCAAAATATTATTTGAACTTTTGAAATTTAAATTTTTAATTGATAAAACAAAGTCACAAGAAAAAATAGCCAAAATAATACCAGTAAGAACACAATAACATGATAGAGCATGATTTTAGAAACATTTAGGAAAAAAACATTCAATTTGGAGTTCATATGAGTGAGATACACTAGTTTTCAAATTTTTCAAATTTTATTTTCGCATATGGCTTCTTAAATGGCCCGTATAGAAAAATCGATTTTTCCATGCGGGCGCTTAAGTGAGCCGTATGAAAAAAATGAGCTCATTTTTGCATGCGGCCCTCTTAAGAGGCCCTACGGGCCACTTAAGCAGTATGGGAAAATGGCCCTCGATTTTTACAGACGCCACTAGTTATGGTCCGCATGGAAAAATGATGAGTCATCGTACAGAAAAATTATTTTTGTAGTAGTGTACTATTAAGTATGTGGTATCCATAACTATGACAGCGTGGGCTAAACAAACTAGAGAGCCTTCAGCTCTCATATCTCATGAATCTATGAAAATAATTTTTAGGTTAAATCCACCACTGCAGACCCTCCTCCTGACCTTCTCAATCCGAACGCCGCCAGAGGCGTCGCGGCTCGTCGGCCTTTTTCCTGCGCTATGGCTGTTCCACATCGGCCTCCATCCTGGCAATCGGCGACGTGCTGAGGAAAGCGACGAGGAATGGCGCGACACGGCGTCGAACGAGAGGAGAGCTGCCAGGACGAGGCACGGCGCGCGTGGCCAGGCAAAGCGAGGTATCAGGTACGGGAGAGATTATTAGTGTGGACGGATTAGCGAGTTGCTCGCCAGTCCGGCAAGGCTGCAACAAACTGAGGACGAAGAGATGAGGGGATTAGAGACCTGACCTGCGCCGAGGATCGATATCGGTGGAAGAATATGCACATCTTTTTTCAGAGGAGGGTACTTTTTTTACCCGGCCTTTATATCCAACCGGATATATACAGCTTTTTTTAAGTAGGAACTTAGTCTATCGAATAGGGAACTTAGCCTTCAAATAACCCAATCTAAATATGCACATATCTAGATACCACTCTCTTAAATTTTCATTTTAATTTATCCGCCTAAATTTTTAATTTATCCGCCGGTTCCACGTATCAGCCTCCTCTCCTCTGTCACCTAGTTGCAGATATCCTGTTGTTGTTTCTTTTTTTTCATCTAAACCATCGTGACACAGTTGGATTCGAACCGATAAATCCTATACTATTATGTTGATTTAATGATAATCTACTTATAAAATAAGCTTTTCTAAAATGGCCAATATGTCAAAAATCCAGGCAGCAATATTGTATCGGAGGGATTCGTGAAGAGTATGGAGCAGGATTTGAAAAGGCTGGTGGTTGAGAAATATGGCGGGCCCAATCAGCCGGAGCAGCGGCTGCCAACCATCTACAGAGTCCCTGGTGAGATGAAAAGGAGGGACGAGGAGGGTAACAGCTATAGCTACCTCCCAGTTGCCGTCCAGATCGGCTTGCTAAGCTATCCAAGGCAGCAGAGCCGCGAGGAGGACTACAGGGTCCTCGAACTGTACAAATGGCGCTGCGTCGGTAGCCTCATCGGGAGGCACCACCTTCTCCAAGAGCCAACCCGGACACCGGAGCTTCTGCGCCGGTGCCTGAGCGCCATCAACGGCTTCCTGCCACGTATCCTGGCGTCCTACAATTTTGACGCGGAGGCGCTCGACGTCGGCCAGAGACATGTAGTCCTGGGCATCATGCTGCTGGACGGGTGCTTCATCCTCCGCCGCCTGCTCAAGTTCGCGCGCATTGCCAGTGAAGAACAATCAGGAGCTAAAGCTTCCTCCTCTAGTTCTCGTTCCGGCACCGGCGGGCAAGATGACGACGAGGACCGGGCCGTGCTGTTTGGGAGGTGCTGGGTGTGGTCGTTCGTCACGTGCGACCTGCTGCTTCTGGAGAACCAGATCCCGTTCTGTGTCGTCCAGAAGCTGTTCCATCAGCTCCGGACGGACGCCGACGACACCAGCGACGTCCTCGTCGCTGGTGCCCTGCGGCTATTCGGCTCCCTCCGACCACGCAAGCTCTACTCCTCGCCCATCTCCTGCCGCGATGTGCATGTGCACCACCTCCTGCACCTCTTCTACCTCTCCGTCGGCTTCCCACCACCACCGGACGCCGCCGCGGCGCCGGACGACGACCCTAGCGAGCACTTGGTGCCGCCGTCTGAGCTCCCGCAGTGGATACCATGCGCCAGGGAGCTGGAGGAGGCCGGCGTCACGTTCCGGCCCAGGAAGGATGCGACGAGCTTCCTCGACGTCAGGTTCGCCGGCCACGGCGGCGTCCTGGAGATCCCGGAGCTGCAGCTGTACGACTACAGCGAGCCGCTCTTCCGCAACCTCATCGCCTTCGAGCAGACCTACCCCTACACGCGCGGCCACGTCACCGCCTACGCCGTCTTCATGGACTGCCTCGTCACCTCGCCGGAGGACATGAGGCTGCTGCACCTCAGCGGCGTGCTGGTGAACCACATGAACCGCGACCGGGACCCCACGGGGTTCTTCAGCCGGCTCTGCAGCGAGGCCCACCTGGCTGCCGACCGTAACTACCTCGCCGGCGTGATCGGTGAGGTGAATCGGTACCGGCGGTCCAGGTGGCCGCGGTGGCGCGCCGCCCTGGTGCGCAACTACTTCAGCAACCCATGGGTGGCCACGTCCCTTGCCGCAGCAGTGATCCTGCTCGCACTCACCATGATGCAGAGCTTCTTTGCGGCTTATGCATACTTCAAGCCACCTAAGCAGTAATAACTGGTACAACACATATATTTTGTGGAAAAACATAAATAAATGAGCTAGTTTCATTCTGTATTGTGTTGTTGACTTGTTGTAACTTGTGATTGTTTTGTGTGGCAGCATATATATACTTCAAAGTGCTTGATGCGTTTGGTGCTAATTTCTGATGCTGACGTAAATTGTAGGGCAGGTTGCACTTGAGTGAGAAAATATGTAATGCAAATCACGTATACGTAGTGCAAACCTAGAAACTGAAAGGACATTCATGTCGCTTAGAGGGGGTAAATAGGCGCTCCTGAAAAACACTTCACAGCGAAATCAAATTTACCAAAGGTTTCGGTCTTAATTAACAGAAGTAGCGGACCAGAAGTTCCAGTCTGAAAAACCTAAACTTCCGGTCTCCTTAGTTTGTTTTGCCATGGGAGCAAACCTAGGCGCAAACCTCACAACACACAGCTGCAATAGATAGAGTAAATAATTATGATCAAGCAGGGAAGCAAATATAACAAGCAAGACAAGGAGGAGACACAGATTTTTCACCGAAATTCGGATCTCAACGATCCTACTTTCTGTTGAGGGACTCCAAGGAGCCGGATCTCGATTGATCCCAAGCCTCATCAAGCAATCAACCACAATAAAGGTTTAGTCTCCAATAAGCAACCACCAAGGTTTAGCAAGTTTTCAAGCGACCACACTGAGGTCCAAGCTTGAACAACGAGCACCCATCTCCGATGAAGCTTGCTCTGCCAAGCAACCTCCTAGAAGATACTCAATTTCCACTCAATATTACCTCTTCCCTTGCGGCGGTGAGGCAAACCTTACCAACTTTTCCGAGCAATCCACGCAGTTGGATCCTCACGGGCGAAGCTTAACCGTCTAGGTGGAGAACCACCAAGAGTAACAAACACAATCGATGACTTGCTTGCTATGAATTCAAGTGCTCAAGGATTGAGTAAAGGTCACATGCTCTCAAATTCTCTTCTCTACCTCTCTCTCTCTTCTCAAACTCTCTTAAGGATAGGGTGGAGTTCACTACCAATCAATCCCTCTTCTCAAACCTCTTTCAAAAATGGGGTGGAGTTCACTAGCACTCAATCTCTCTTCTCAAACCTTCTCTCAAACCCAAATCCCTTCTCTCTCCAAATCTCTTCCAAAATCTCACTCACAAAGATATACCACAGGGTAGGGGATTAGGGAAGTGAATCTTTGGTTTTGGATGAACCTAATCTTGCCTAAAGTCAACAGCCACAGATAGTGGGGGTGGAGAGGTTTAAATACCCGAATTCCTAAAAACTAGCCATTACTCACAGATTCGAATACTCGGTACTTCCGGTCGAAAAGATCTGAACTTCATGTACGAAGTAACTGCTCAGTCTAGAAGAAGGATCGGAACTTCAAGTCAGCCTTCCAATGTCGAATAGAGTACTTGGACCGGAACTTCCGCTCCCCACTAACAGACTGACAACACTTCATAAAAGGGTCATAACTCCTTGCTTTTGAATCCGTTTTTATGAACTTGGGCTCTATGGAAAGCTTATTGAAAGATCTACCCAACCCAACTAGAAACAAGCTCTAAAACCAGTCATAAGTTAGGTTAAGGCTTAGGTTTCCCTCAAGATAGCACTTGCATAGGTTACTTTGAGCACTGAGACAAAAACAAACACATCAACGTTGCATCTATCTTAATAGTACGGCATTCATATACTCAAATGCAAATAGAAAAGCTATACCACTAGGGATGCCATCACGTCATCATCTTGCTTCACCTTGCGGGTTGCCAACGTCAATGGCATTTTACCACCGGGACTATTCACCTACAATTCTAAGCACATTAGTTCCAAATCAACTATACCTTAGCCTTGATCAATGCCACTATGACTTTTGGCTTGATATTCATCAACGGATCACATCCTCTTAATCCTCGGCATTCCATCTTGATCTTGATCTTCGTCAACAGAGATTGACCCTCGACAGCTTGTGACTTCCTATGGCCTCGATCAGTCCGTCGGTGTTTGGCCTAGCTGTTGATGCGAAAACACGAGGCCTGGAAGATCTGCTTAACTTCAGTGCAGGTCCAAAAAATCTTGCCTTTAGGTTCGTGAGCGTGCCAGTTGATTTGATCCTGCAACCAACAAAAATAAAGAAAAAGAAACCATCGTTAAATCCATAAATGATAGCCGATCGGCTAATTGCCGATGACATATCATTTATCTCTAAGCCGATGTCATATTTGAATCGATCGACAAGTATAAATAAGTAAGAAAGGACTAAATCTACTCGATCGACTGTAGATATTAACAATATATAATCCTTATAATCACTAGGAGAAGGCCCAACGGGCCATCGTGCCTTCCAGGGGTTTCGCCAACAATTGGGCCAAGCTACTCAACCCATTAAGGGCCCATACATGCAAAAGACATCATATTCCCATAATAATGTCCCTATTATAAGGGTAACCATGTAAATTCCCCTGTAAATCCTAAATCCTAAGGGAGGAGTCTGTAATAGGGCTATAAATAACCCCCTAGGGCCATGTAACAGGGGGATCTGAAAAAATTTTACTAAGCAATACAATTGTCTTTTTTTCCAACCACTGTTGAGAGAACCACGTCTTTCGACGTGACACAGTTGTCGTTTCGACAACAATAATAAAACCTCATTGTATTCCATTTCTTCACATCATCTTTATCATCTCTTCATCGAACTAATACCCTACTTATACACTCAATAAGTGTATTAATCCATTAATCATTTGTCATCAATTAGCCAAAACCCAGTAGAGCTAGATGCTTTTTCAATCTACAGCAAGTCCTTTATTGAGGCCTTTCGAGGCTAGAAGTGTATCTTTGTTGGTATTTATTACAACCATGGAATAATCTGCAAGTGCACAGATAACGTTGTAGCCTTCACTCAAGAGTATTTCAGGGTATCGTATCCACAAGGAACGTATGTGTATAATCTAAGAACATGATTCTTCCAAGGACAATAACTAAATGGTAGGCTTGGGATGGAGAGAATTCCTATGGGTTAATTAACTTAATTAAGTTAAGGTAAAACTCTATTGATTGCTTCGGGCACCGGTTTACCCCTAGTCTGCCAAGGAGACTCCGGCCTATAGCTCTAAAATGTATCCGAGCATGGAGGATTACAAAGGACAGACAGGGATGTCACCACCTGTCGCCTATCTCTATAATCCATGGAGCACACAACAAACAAAGATAACCTCTAGCCTAGACATTGCGTCTATGCTATTGATTACTACCCTAATCCCCACATGACAAAGAAGATTAGGATACTCTACTTGTCGTTGGCAAAACCACCCTTTAAGCCACCGAGGAAGTCAAATTGCACAGGTTTTAGTACTTGGGGGTCGAGATACCCGATATTACGGATACGAATCAGATTCGGTCCCTGGTTAAGGAGAAAATTGGGATTATACCATCGCAAAAGAGTGGTTCCGCTGGAATGCCATCACTTCAAACTGATTCACTATAATGTCATCCTAAACTAAGAGAGGTTCACCAAAATGCCATTTTCGTTCTTTTTGTGAATAGAAATGTTTTGCTCAATTTTGTTTTTTTTCCAGACCAAAATACCCCTGACGCAGGCCCTACCTGTCATACTCTCTTACCCTTCTCTTTCCTCTCTTCCTCTCTCTTTCGACGACGCCGTCGGGAGCGGCAGTAGCCGGGAGGCGGGCTGTGGCCGGCGGCCGGCGGCGGGCGTAGCGGAGCAAGGCTTGCAGAGGAGCGACAGCCGCCGCCACTGTTGACGGCTGCTAAGTACAAAATTAACGCCATCAATACCTGCATAAGACCATAAATATAAAACATCCAACATAGTGATAGGGTTTATTTCTAACAATTTCCACGAGTGTTGGTGTATATTCGTATGCAGGTGACAAGCTACCAAAATTGAGATGAAATGTACATGAAGGATGAGAATATAACTTCCATATCCAAACCTATGGAGTTTTGAGCCCACAAACCCAATAAGATACATTTATCTTGGCCAATCTTCAGTGGAACATATAGTGGGGCCCACATGTCAGAACACCAGAGAGAGGGCTGGGCTGGATGGGCTAGCCAGGGTTCGACCGAACCAAAGGGTTCGGCTGAACCAGTAGCTGGCCCAGTCTAGCCCAACTTCGGCGTGGCAGTTGTACTCCTCATCCTATGACGGTTGTGGCTGTTAATACCGGTGAAAACCGTCATCCGAAGGGACACTTGTCAAGAGAGAGTGAAGATTCCATTTAGAATATTCCTTAGCATCTCCACTCTCTCAAGTCACCTCCACACTATAAATACCCCTCTCCTCTCCCTCATTCACACACACTCCAAGCTTGAGCTGAATTATAAGAGGCTCTATACTAGATTAGGGAGAGAGTAGCGTAGAAGAATTCGGAGGAGTTTCGGAGTTGTCAACAATCCTCTTCTTATTTCTTTTGCTCTGTTAATTAGTCTGATTATAATAGAAATATATTTTAAGTAATTTAGTTTGCTTGGTAAGAATTATTTCTTAGTTAGTGCGTAATCAGCATACGGGATTATCGTTCACTATAATCAACTAAAAATATAGTGATTTACTTTAGTGTGTAGCTAGTATTAAAGTAAGTAATTAATCTGCTTAGACGCGGTATCTAGGTAGTTAATTTTCGGTGTTTGCTCCGCATCCCATAGTAGGTGTGAGGCGGGTGTAGAGGTGGTGACAACCCTCAATATCACTGAAGTCCTCCCTGTCCGGGTGCGCAGTAGAGCGATATTTGGCAGCAACGAGCTGGCCAGTGCCCGAAGTATCGCGTTAGGATTAAAGTTAAGCTTTATGTAGACACTGTTTCTCACCGGTGAAACCTCTCTATCCTTTTGCCTACTCGTAGCTTCGTGTACTTGGATGAACCTGATTTAGAGTCCTATGGAAATCGATACCTAAGAATACTCCCGGTGAAGTGCTACATCGGTATATTCCGTGCGCTTGCGGATTTTATCTATGAGGTTAAGAAATACCAAAAGCCACCGCAAGCCACCACGGAGGAGCAGGAGACAGAAATGGATCCAGATGCGACGGAGGTTGCAAAGCCACTAGTCGACGGGCTCCCCGACGAGGCTGGGCATTGAGCCATTGCATGACCTCGGAGCGGTCGGCAGTGGCTCGTCGTCGTCGGTGACGAGGTTGGTCGGCGGCAAGATCCCCATGGGGATGGTGGGTTTCCGGAAGAGGCCGGTGAGGAAGTCGAACAGCTGGGGCTCGAGCTCGTAGCAACTGCGGTTGATGATGAGCTCGTACGGTCGATGATACAGCGATGGCGGCGTGAAGAAGGCCGCCTGTGGCGGAGGAGGCGCCGCGGCGAATGCGCAGATTACTGGCAGCGGCAGCAGGGGGCGGCGATCCGCGGCGCAAACTCCGGCACCCCAGCGTCGAGGCGGCTGGTCGAGCCACTCCTCTGCGGGCCCTGCTCTGCCACGCCCGCCACCGTCTGCCGGCCTCTACCGCCACGCTCCGCTCCCGACGGTGTCGTTGAGAGAGAGGGAGAGGGGAAACCGAGAGATCAAAGAGTATTACAAGTGGGGCCTTCGTTAGGGGTATTTTGATCTGGGAAAAAATAAAATTGAGCAAAAACATTTCTATTCACCAAATGGAACGAAAATGGCATTTTGGTGGACACCTGATCAGTTTGCAGTGAAACCACTCTTAATCCCAATTTTCTCCTGGTTAAGGGAGCCAAAGTGAACTTATTCCCTCCGGATCTCCCCCTTCTTTGTACTTTCCTCCCCTTCTCTCACCGCCGCCGCCGTCGTCCGCCGCCGAAGGGGGCAGCCGGATTCCGCAGCCCCGATTCCACCACAGGCCACAGACCCTTCACCCGTGGCTCGGGCCGAGGCCCGACTTCCGAGCCGCAATATTTGGGGAATCATCCCTGGAGTATAATGGCGAGCCAGGAGAAGCCCACCCCGCCTCCGCCGCCGCCGCCGCATCCACCTGCACCGGAGGCCGTACCTCGCGTGCGCCGGTTCGGAGGGGGTCCTCCGGGCGGAGGAGGCGGCGGAGGTTACCCTAACCCGCCGGACGCGGCGATCCCCGACGCGGCGACGCTGCGGGAGCAGTGGCGGTTCGCGGTGCGGCAGTACAGCAGGTGGTACTCCCACGCCTGGGGCACCGCCATCCTCGCCGGCGCCGCCTTCTTCGGACTCGGCTGGCTCGTCAAGGGCTCCAACCCCCTCCCGTCCCGCGCCGAGCACCACGCCTCCAACGCCAAGGAGGAGGAGGGCTAACCGGTGAGAAACCCCTTCGATTCTTGCCTTTTCAGAGTTATTTATTTCTTTGCTTGAAAAGAATGGCGAGTTCGAGCTCTTGATCCGCTGGTAGATATTCCCATATTGGAATGGAATGGGGGTGTTTGGGTAGCAAGACTATCTGTGATTCTGGTGAGCTAGTTTCGATAAGAACTGGTAAAGACAATTTGGGCATGGTTTGGGTGGTTTTTGTGTTTAAGATTAGTTATGAGTTCTAGGGAAGAGTAGGGTGCTACTTTCTGTGTACTTACAAATTAACAAAAGGATGCTGTGAAACAAATGGGTGTTGTGCAAAAATATTGGCGACACTGGGGCTGTTCGGCTTCTTCATTTGCTGTTGCGCTGCAGCCAGCAAGAATAGTGCCTCAGAAACAAGGCCAGCCGCAGTTTCTGGCCTTCCAAACAGCCCCACTGGTACTTTATGCAACTCATGGCCATTTAGGTTTGCAATGTCAACTCTTTAAATAGTATGTTTTCGTGACCATGATATGGTCAGTCTTTGACGTGCTTAAATTGACCAGAGGAGTTTAGGCATCTTCTTACATTATTAGTACTGCTAGTAAGAGAGCTAGTAAACTAATGCTTATGAAGTTGTGCTTTTGTTTGTGACATAAAGCTATAGTATGTTGTTTTCAGATTTATAAGAGTATCCAATAGGTTAAATCAGACAATATTTTTTTCTTGAACATTTTGGATAAATAGGATATGCCGCAGTTGGAAATCTGCATTAGCTCCATCACTTCCCCTCTTTTTGAACTAAACTTCGATTACATAAATGTTGAGTGAAAGTATGATTCTTATTATATCAAATTGTACTATTTTAGTACTAAAGTTTAATTAACGATATTGTTTGGACGTATTGAAGTACTAACTGCTATAATGCTCCTCACTAGGTTTATTTCATAGCACTTTGATTTTTTTCTTCAACTATTACGTGTGATCAGCTTTTGTTCAAGAAGCTTTCAATAGGTTGATCAATCATTTCTTTTATGGAAAAAGTTGAAAAATATGGTTTTTAGCTTCCAAAGTTCCATATTGGAAATGCCAACATTGAATTTTGAGAACTATCTGACAAGCTGGATGAGCTATCTTTTTCTATAATGTTGTTACCAGTTGCTTCAGTTCCTTTAATAGTAGAACATGAACAAGTCCAGGATCTTATTCTGTTAAGTTGCTCCTCTTGTATAAAGTTGCTACCAGTTGCTTCAGATTCCTTCAATTTATAGTAGAACAAGTTCATGACTTTATTCTGTTAAGTTATGACTTAAATTTATCAGCATTGATTAAAATTTTGCTTATAATGGTAATTGGTCCATCACACATAACTAGGGAACTGTTTTCTGTAACTTTGGCAATCCATCGCTTCCAAATAGCTTTCTTTAAACATTTTTGGTATTTAGTGAACAAGTGACCATCTTAATTCTACTTAGTTGTTTTAAGGTTATGGTTTTGTGCAGTGTTTTAGAATAAGGTCTACATGGCCACATACAGGAACGGGTGCCCCAACCTCGTACTGCTTAAGCCGCATAAGCGGCCGATTATACCACATTAAGTGTCTGATTATGCCGCATAAGCGCTACAAGGTGGGGTGACCGCATGAAACCGCATACCACTTTTTAAAACATTGGTATTGTGTGAAACCCTTTTTTAGGATAAGTTTTATAGACAAAATACCACTAAGCTATAAGAAACACTGATTTGATTTGTTTGTACAGTTAGCACGAGCAAACAATACTTGACAGAGTAAGGAAACATCCTACATGTGCATATAGCTAAAGCCTAAAACATCACCAAAATTATATTTGAATTATTGATTGCTTTTCATGAAACCAATTGAAAGACTAGCAATTTGGCTATAAAATTGTGAAGATCGACTATCCGATCCATGAATGTTTTATATTGTTTTAAAATAATGTGGTCTACAGCTAGATTTTATGTTAAACCCTACTATGCCTCTTTGTGAGGTTCGCAGCATCATTTAGTGAACACTTCTGTATATCAGACATTCATATGGTCTAGTTATTGTACTTTCTGTGTCATTGTATTATTTACCTCAGTCTGCAATAGATATATATGAATAATGATATCTTCAAAGTTTTATTATTTTTAGGTTGAAATTGTACATGACAAAATATGTACAAATACCACAACTTCTCAGTGCAACTTAAAACACAGTCATTTTTTGTGTTCTCTTGTTTATTGAGGTTTCTTTTGAGCAGAAAGTCCTTGCTACTCACCGGTGCAAATTTAAAATTAGCCGTAATGGGCAAAGCGAAGATAAGGCAAGCAAGAAGAAGAATTCTGCATCGTGCTAAATGCACATTGTACACTTTTGACTGCAAGACACTGCTCACTTATCTCATCTTCCTCGCCTGTTGTGTATATTTGGTCTAGTATCTGCAGAATAAGAATACGTGGCCTTACTGTTTAGTGAAGCCTTTGGAGTATCCTGTAAATATGGACGAGATGCTGCTGAAATCTAATAAGTGTTGCCCAATTATCTTTGGTTTTTTTTTTTGGTATTTATCATTCTTTGTATGCTTGGATCGAATTATTCGGTGCCGAATACGTCACAACAATAGTGCACCAATGCAGGACGTATGTCTGTACGAAAGCCATGTTCGTTTGTTCATGACGGTGAGCATGTCGCAAGCAATCATCATGCCTTTACAAAAGAGGTTTTCTTTCAATAAATTTCGAGCTTACTATGCACGAGCATGTATGTGCCTGTTTTTCTTTTGTCATCCAACTTGCTCCGCTCCGTATGACATGCCAATTTTCTTCATACAATTTACCAACTATTCTTTACGTTAGAAGCAATTCAGGTATAATATTTCTACATCATTCTCTTGTTTTATTTACACTGTATAATGATGGGCACGTTACAAGTGGTTTCCAATTTTTTACATCATTATCTTATTTTTCACGTTACAGGTGGTACAATTTTCAACTTGTCAAGGTATAAAAGGACTGATCATTTCAGAGCTCAATTAGCTGAAAACAGAAGACGAGTAGCTGATGAGACTTATATTTGACTCTTTAAATCAACTATCTCAAGTTGTACAACACAACCCAAGTTCATAACTGATAATTACGGCCAGGGGACATTCCTATGGCTGCAGATGGGTGCCGCAATCAGACAGGCTACAACAAGAGACCGATACTTACCGACTGGAAATTCTTCAATGAGCGCCAAAAAAGAAGGCACTTGATTATGCTAAGAAGTTTACCTATGTATAATAATCAGGTCTGAATCAACACTTTTTGTCAAAATTTAGATGATTCAGGAGGTTTCAGTTTATTGCCAACATCTGCATGATTATATCGTTCCACGCATCAATAGGACCGGGCAAGCACCAGTGCAGGCAGTCGTTCTGAACTTTGGCCGATGTTGCCTTCTCGAAAGGATGATACGTCCGGTAAGGCCCAGGGTGGCCGTCAGGCCTTTGCAGTGAGAGCTCAAATGTGTCGAGCAGCTTCAGACGGCCGGCGTTGTTGTGCCTGTCGTGCACAACTGCCTTGGCAAACTCTTCTCTCTCGATCCTCCACATCTTCATGTCCGATTCTCGATCGCCGGTTTCCCCTGGCTTGAATGGAACTGTCCTCTTGCAAGTCCCGCCACTGGACCACTCACCATTCTCAAAATGCGACGGTGACCATGTTCTGTAGAAGACCACTGGCTTGTGAGGTGAGGACGTGATGAATTGGAAGGTTTTTCTGAGTGACTTGCGGAAGGCATACTCAAAAGTCAGTTCCGCTACACTCTTGTCCTGGCAATAGTGGCAGCCGGTCACAGCTCCATTCTCCCAGTAGACTGCGGTTTTCGGGAACCATTGGCCTGTCGATATCACGACATAGTCGAAGCTGTTCCATTGCCTTGTCCAGTTTGAGTCAAGAATGTCAAGGTGCAGTTGGAGCTCAGAAGTTGATACTCCATCATCATCCTCAAATATTTCAGCTTCGACAAGGAACGGTGCCCAGATAAGAGAGACTGTGATGTTGTGCAAAGCAAAGTGCCACTTCCTTGATTTGAATGTCTTGTCATGGTAGACCTGAGTAGGCTCTTCAACCTAAATCAGATTATAAAATTATTCACTTCTCTTGAATTTCTGGTTTGTTGATAAGTACTATTACTACAAATTCAAGCAAGCACAGCTGATAGCACATTAACAATATAAATAGTAGCATTGCTCTAAAAAATCTGCATGTGCAAAAAAGCAGAACTAATCCACCAACATCAGAAATTAATGTCGTTTTTCAGTAATAACAAAAACATATTCAGCTCTGACTCAGCGTTCACATAAAAAAAATCATCGACACATCCTCAATCCCACGAAATTTGCCTGGAGAATTGCAAATGGTAGTATAGTTAGAACTAGCTGGTAAAAAGTATGCCAGTGTGCTTATTTTGCTAGTATTTCACTGAACATAGGTTGAGCTTATTAGTGAAGTACTAGAGATAGATTGGTCAACAATATACTATCTTGTAATTACTACACGATGGCAGTATTTTTTTTTCTGAACTATAAAGTATTAAAGACTTCATCACATAAACCACAGAATACCTTAGCAAGAAGGCAAAGCAACGATTGAACGTGATTTCGGAGGATTGAATCACCAATAAGAGCCCAATGTTTTCCCCGCATGGCCTCCAAAAACTTCTCGCCCTCAAACCGCGACATCTCGCAGCCATAGGGCTTCCATCTCCAATAAAGATAGCCACTGTCAGGCCTTCCATTTGTCATACAGTTCTGCGGAGTCTCGATGAAGCGGCAGCTGTTGTTAGTGTAATCAGGGCCAGATGAATCAGGGACCCATTTACCATGGAATAAATCACAACTTCCTGCATTTATCAGGAAATGTATGGTAATTAAATTACAAAGGGAATAATACTATAAGTATATGTAACTAAACATGTAGTAGTATGGAACAAATTGAGGGTACACGCAAAGAGAGCCCTTTTGGCATATTAAAAAGGGAAAGCTTCCATAGCTCCAGATCCCACACCGACACTTCCATAGAGGATTTAACCTCATTTTTTTTTCACTAAACTAATGAAAGTGATCAATCAAAGCCTTACAGCTGGAGTCATCAGGAGTCATCTCTCGCTCAAAAATATTGCAAGGTGACACTGGACCTATTGTTCAAACTGCATCTGGGGTCAGACACAAATCACAAGAATCAAGACTGAGGTCCACAGACCTGGCACCTGAACAATAAACTATATCGGGAGTAATTAACTATAATATCACGCGAACATGATAAGAAGGGAGAAATTAACCCTCTCATTCAGAAATGATTGGATCGTTTTATCGAAGAAGAAAATATTTACAATTTACTCTCATGTGTAATAAACATTTCAGCATTTTCTTCCCTTGTTTAACCAAGGATCCGGTGATCCCTCCATCTTCAAGTTCAATCAATGGAAAATTCTCAGTTACCAAAAAAGATATATACAATTTCTTTTCATGTTCCGAATCCCCTTAATTCGATCAAAAAAATGCTGAATTTGTGCCAAAATATCAAATTGAGAGCGAAAAGTCACACTAATACTCCTCCACTAGTACTGCTACTAGAGTACTTCCTTTCCTTCAGCTGCGTTTCCATGTCACGAGAAACAACCCAAAAAGTAAAGAAACAAAAAAAAAGAAGAAAAACAAACGGTTGAAAAGGAGCAAAGCAACAACAGCATCGATCCCAAGAACATCTCACCGTTGGAAGGCAGCGAGCCGCCGCCGGCGAGGACCGCGTCGTCCCCTTGCCCTAGCGCGACGGCGGCGGTGGTCGTCGTCGACGACGACGAAAGGAGGAGGTACGCGGAGGGGTTGACGAGCAGGCGCAGGGCGAGGCCGACGAGGAGCACGGACAGCAGCAGCTTCAGCCCGCCGCCCCCTGCCGCCTTCCTCTGCTGCGGCGCCGGCGGCTCACCCCACCCCATCGTTCGCCGGAGAAGGACGCGTGTGTGTGCCTCACTCACCACGGACTCCACTGCAGTCCACAGTAGTGGAGAGCAGGTTGATCTCCCCTGAGTCGTCTCGTTGTTGGTGAGTTCGGTGGCTGGAGGAAGAGGAAGAAGAGGCAGGAGGAGGGGCAAAACGGGAAAGAGTGGAGGGTGAAGCGGCGAGGCATAGGTGGCGCCGGGGGAAGCTGCCAACGAGGAAGGGGAAGGCAGTGGGCAGGTGCTTTTTGTGTGACCCACCGCTCGATTCATTTTCAGGTTATTTTCTACTCCCTTCTTTTGCACTGCAGAGTAACAGCACACTCTGTGGTTTTTCACCATGACTTTTTTTTGTGGCTGTGGCTCAAGTATCTTATTTACTTCAGACCATGTAATAGGTTTGGGATATGATTTCTTATCTCTCAAAGGATAAGTTTCAATCCTAACCATTCATTCTTCTCGCTCCATTTCATCGTATCCCTCCATTCATTTCCATTTACCAATTCCACCTCTCCTAACCCATTATCCAAATACACTCTCATTGTTGTTTCTATGTACCTCTGGTTGATGATAGAAGTAAATGATAATTCTCATGAATTATTATTGCCTGATGTAAACCAAATTATGTGTAGAGTAACCATGGTGACATGCTGGATTATGTTGGTGATAGTTCATTATTTATCCATACAGTTCAATCAAAGTATGTTTGACTTTAAAATGACGTAGGCAAAAGTATATATTTTATCCGTATAGTTTAATATTGTACAATTTAGCTGAAGGCGACAAAGCTGACGAAGTGATCCACAATCTGTTTTTATTTCAAGAAATAGGCACATATAATTTAATGTATTTGCCTATCTTAGAACAGTAATAGGATATATCGTCATATCTTACATTAAAAGAAATATTTTTAAAAATGAATATTATATTCTAAACAATATTTTTTTATTGTAAATTATAAACCTTGTGTTGTGGAGTAGTTTTTCTAGTAGATTCCAAACCAAAATTTCTACTTTTTTAATTATCTTGTACTACCTCTGTCCCAAAATAAGTGCAGTCGTGGGAATCTGTGTCCAAAGTTTGACCGTCCGTCTTATTTGAAAAATTTATGAGAAAATTAAAAAAAAGTTAGTCACACATAAAGTACTATTCATGTTTTATCATCTAGTAACAATAAAAATATTAATCGTAAAAAAATTTCAAATAAGATGAACGGTCAAACGTTAAACATAAATAGTGTAAAACTACACTTATTTTGGGACGGAGGGAGTATTTTTTAAGTACTCGTGTTGTAGGGAACTATCTATATAAATGGTTGATCAACGAGATGACCCCTCCTAATTAATAAGGTACAGGTGTAAGTTAGCAAATAAGTAAAAAACTATACTTAGAAACAAAATTAAAAAAAATATTAAAAAAAATAGAAGAGTTAATCGACGTATGTATGCATAAAGTCTGATAAAGCGACCAAATTCACAAAAATTAAATAGTATGTGGACACTTAATTTTGTAAGCTAGCAAGTAAAGTGACAAAAAAATCAGAAAAAAAAAAGAATCATCAGCACGTACGTACCTAAAACCTTTTTTCTTCTTCCCTGAAATAACCTTGGCCCCAACAGGTATTATCTCCAGAACCGAGGGAAAGAACGTGATACAATATGCACGTCGCGTGTAAGCTTGACACGGTTTCATGTCCTATATGACCCGAAAGAAGATCACGTACTCATCACGTGATGCGTTGCAGCTGTGCGTGCGTGCTCATCTCGGTGAGTTGGTCATCTGATCAGTCCATCACCCACCGCCCGTGCGTGCACCAAGTCGATCAGATCACTACTCGATCTCTGGAATCTCTCGTCACCCAAGCAATCAGCCATGGCACTATATAATGCTCCCTCTCTGTTTTTAAATATTTGACACCGATTTTTCTAAATATGTTAGACCGTTTGTCTTATTTAAAAAAATTTAAGTAATTATCAATATTTTTCCTATCATTTGATTCATTGTTAAATATACTTATATGTAGACATATAGTTTTACATATTTCACAAAAGTTTTCGAATAAGACGAACGGTCAAACATATGCTTAAAAAGTTAATGGTGTTAAATATTTAGAAACGGAGGGAGTAATATATACAGTGTGTTAGCTCCGTTTTTAAATACACTTGTGTCGTATCCGTGCGTTGTAATGGGATTGAAACTACTGTGTTTAGTTTTTTATTTGAGTTTTTTTGGATGAGGCGGTTTCATTTGAAAGGCGTTTTTCTTAAAAAAAAACTACGATGGTAGGTGAGGAGGACAATTCCTCCACCTTTAAACTAATAAAAATAACGCTATTAATTTTCATAATAATATTTGTATTTTAGAAATATTATAATTATTATTTATTTTATCGTGGCTTTAAACATGGTTTATATTACTACATATTTACATTAAATTTTTAAGTAACATGAAGCCTCAAATAACATCGTAGGGAGGAATTATTATGAGTGTTATTCTACTCATGTTATAACTCTCTCCCCTCTCTCTAAGAAACAATGTGCGGATCTCATGCGTCTACGTTTTCTAAATATAAAATAAGCAAGTTCGGATTCAAACATCTTCCGGTCTAATGGATATTCAAGTCCTTAATGGAAAAAACACAATTTCAAAGGCTATGAAAGGCGTTGCTTAATATTCATGGTTTTCAGTTTAGTGAATATAATATTATACTACAGTTTTGTAACTGATTATTAGACTATCACCATAACTAAAGTAGGATATACATGAGAGAGGGAGGGAGATAGTGGGGAGAACTCACCAGCGAAGTCAACAGTGACTTCCTCGATGAGCTCTCCACGGCAACATCTCTCTCAATAGCTGTGACGTCGAACCTCCATCACGTACGTCATATTGAATCTCGAGATTGGGCAAAAGCATTCAATAGGAGGAGGTATGGCTAGTAAGGACAGGTTTAGAAGGAAAGCTAAGATGGTGAAGAACCGACAATGGGATGGAGGAGATGGGTATGCGGTGAGGCGGTGGTGGTGTCGATGCTACTAGAGATAGGGGAGGAGAAGGAGAAAGGGAGCATGCAAAAACTTGCCAACGTTGGTGAAGATGGGTGACAACAGCATCACAAAGGAGGATGGGGAGAAGAAGTGGAAGGATGTGGTGGAGATGAGTCGTCGGTGAAGTGGTGGTGGTGTCGGTGCTGCTAGAGATTGATAGGGGAGGAGAAAGGAAGCATGTAGAAACTCACCAAAGCTTGTGAAGAGGGGTGACGACGGCATTGCAAAGAAGTATTTGGAGAAGACGTCACGGGGAAGGTGTGGCCGATGGTTCTCACCGACATAGCGGGCATGGTGAGACGTGCGGGGCAAGAGAATTAGGTTGTGATTTCACGGTAATGGAGAGAGAATGAGGTCATATAAAGTCTATATGCTTCCATGTGATCTACTAGATTTTCCAGGAATTAATCGACAATAGAGTAGTAAAACAATTATGCAACCATCGAATAAGAAACTCCTTTTTATTGAATTGAACCTAATATTTCTGAGAGAATCAAATAAGAAGCATTTGTCTCCATATATAACTCTATCAAAGGGCTATCGCACGAAAGTTTGTGGGAAGTCTAAGTGTGCGAATGCCTACACTTTCTTTTTGCACCATGTTAAATTTTGATAAGTTTATCTATCCAAATTTATATCCGATTCCGATTCGAAGTCTCATTGTATCGCTTAGGCTTATGTTTATAAGATAAAATTTAAATTTTAGAACTTAATTTTGAATTTGATTTTTTTCATCATAGTTTATTTACAAATTACAACATTTGCTTTTAAGTCGCTAAGGAGACATATATAAAATTTATACTCACAAATATTTTTTTATTTACCAATAAGCGATTCAGATAATCATATAATTAAATAAGCGAAGCAATGCGACTGTCGGATTCAAATAGTTCTTTATAAAATGTTCTACATTAAAAGTTTTTTTATATAAAATTTATATGTGTACACTTTATACGTATAAATACGTATAGAGTTGTCTTGAATAACTTTTCGTATTGGACCAGTTACACTTGGGATAGACCGAAGGTGTTGTTAGTCCATTAGACCAAGCCCAACTTACCGGGTGCTCCGCAAGGAAAAAACCTCTACCAGCGAGCATAGTTGACTCTACCTCATTATTTATTTTAGAGGAAAAAGTACGAATTACCCCCTGAACTATCGTGGTCGACCGAATTACCCCCTAAACCAGAAAACCAGACATTACTCACCCCCGAACTTTTAGTACCAAACGAATTACCCCCCTCAACACTGTTTTGAGCGGTTTTGACCAGAGAGTTTGCACACGTGGCACCTATGTGGCAATCCAGTCAGCAAATAAAAATAAAAATAACTCCCTTGGACCCACCGGTCATACCTCTCTCTCCCTGATCGCTCTCTTTCTCTCTCCCGTGTGCGCGCTCAGGCAGGCGGCTCCGCTCCGCCGCCTACTGCCGGGTTCGCCTCCACCACCCGTCGCCCGGGCGAGGTCCGCCTCCGTCGCCTGCTGCCGGGTTCACCTCCACCACCCGCCGCCCGGGCGAGGTCTGCCTCCGCCGCTGGCTGTTGGGTTCATCTCCGTCACCCGCCGCCCAGATGAGGTCCGCCTCCGCCACCGGCTGCCCGGTACGCCTCCGCCACCCACCACCCAGGCGAGGTCCGCCTCCACCGCCGGCTGCCTGCCGCCTCCGCTGACATACGCAAGAGAGAGCAGGGGGGAATCACAGGATTGGGTTGAGGGATAGGTTTGACAAGTGGGCTCAGGGAGTTTTTTTTTTTTGCTGACTGGATTGTCACGTTGGCGCCACGTGTGTAATTTCTAATCAAAACCACTCAAAACAGTGTTTAGGGGGGTTATTTGTCTGGTTTCAATAATTGAGAGTGTAAAATGTCCGGTTTTCGAGTTTAGGGGTGTAATTCGGCCGACCACAATTGTTAGGGGGTAATTCGTACTTTTTCCTATTTTAAAACACAATACAATCCCGACGCTAGTATAATTAATTACGTGCACATTTATCCATATAAATATGTATATACACTCTATTCATGTTAGCACCCTTTGGGACTATAGCTAGACCGGTATACCTTGGATTGAGAAAGTTGTTGATGAGTATATCATCTAGCACTGGAAAAATAATAAGCTATGAATACAAATATGCATGTCAAGTCTATAACTTGCACATCATCGTAAGTACGAATATTTGTGTTTAAGTTAGATTTTTAACATGGAGATGAACAGGTTAAAAAAGAATCTAATTAGTTATTAGTTGGTTGAGTTAAGCTTACTTCGTGATCTACCTTCTTATTCCAGTAAAGCCGGCTTTGTTCTTTTGCATTATTGGATTGTAAAAAAAAAAGAGAAGATGACCAATTAAGAGAAATTAAGGGTATAGGAAAGAAAAGATTATGAATGAGTAGTACGCTATGGAACGTGATCCTCTAACATACTGCCTTCTAACTTTGAGAGGATGACATGTAGACCCCATAGATAATGGACCCACATGTTAGCCACCCACGTAAGAGGGCACTACGTCAGAGAAGCCTCTTCCGTAGCTGTGCGCAGGTACCGTCAAGGTGATTGAAATTTTCAAACAAAAAAAAACAATCAGGGATCACCTTTACCGCGGAGATACACGTATGCATGATAGCGCTGACACGTGGGCCATACCCCACCGCTGATCTCATTTCTTTGCGCGTGCGCTACGGACGGATGGCACAGCCTCGTCATGCATTTTTGTTTTCTGAAAAAGAAAATTAATAAAGGAGAGAAAGAAAGCATGTGGCATCCAAAGTAAGCACCGACATCGGCTTTAATTTACGTCTCCAAGAAGCATTCCATCCGGGGCGGATCTAGCATGGAAACGACAACTTCCATAACTAAGATGCCGTCTCATATTCGATATGAAAGCATAAGGTAACTCGCCATGTCATCCCGTTGTAAATACTCTTAGATGATAAGTTAGGTGTTTGTTTTTTACTTATATGGTACCTTCTACTATATAAGCTACTATTGGATGATAGTAGTTCATATAAGTATTTGAACTTTTTTATTCGAAATTTTGTTAAGATAGATTTACACATTCATCCTATCCTAATTTGATATGTAAAAGAAAAAACTACGGATATATACTATGCTAAGTTTCACATAAAGTTGTGTGATAAAGATGAGATGGTCATGCATATATCTGCAGCTTGTTTATGTAAAACTCAATTAATATACATGGTACATTTTTTTAGATAATAATATACATGATACATGAAAATTGATGAAAAATACAGTGCGAGCATATATTAACAGAAAATAGAAGAGGGGGCACAAGATGACACATGAATAGATTGTGAGTTATGGCAACCCGGCCCACACATACAATCATATCAAGCAGACATTAGTTACACCTTTGAGACATAATCCATCACGAATTGATTTATTGTGGTTGGGACACGGCCATTATTTTGTGCGTCCTCCGTGCTCAACCTTTGACGGAGCGCAATAAAACCTAGCTACACTAGCCTACTATAGTTTACCTCTATCCTAAAATATAATAGATTTTATTATAATAGCAATCTTTTCGTTAGGAGCTAATCCCCGGGAGAGTCCCCGTCATAGGATCAAGAAGGCCGACTAGAGGGGTGAATTGGCGGTTTTAAAACTTTTAACTAAAATAAGTTATATATGCGGAAGCGTAAATCAAAACGGTTTTACACAATTTAAGGCCTAAAATAACTAGTCTCAACTAATTGCTGAATTGCACCAAGAAGCTAGATCTATACTATAATAAAGACACACATGAGCTGAAGCAAACTAAACAGGTTGGGGCCCCGACCTCTCTCTTCCACCATCTCCCCTGTACCGAGGCACTCCCTGCATCCCCACCGTCAATCCACTAGCGTTGTTGTTAAGGTACTCATGGTGTCGAAAAGAGAGGGAATAGAAGAGAGGGGAAGAGGAGAAGGGACACTAACACCACATGGGTCCACTGTATTTTTTTCTTTCAAATCTAAGTCCAACTGACACGGGGTCTCATTTTTTTTTCATTTTAATTTTATCTTTACTTCTAGTGACATGTAAGCGACACATCAGTTGAAGACGATGTCAACCATGCCATGTTGGTAGTTGAAACCATATTGAAAACTGTCAAAGGGAGTTATTTTGTACTGGTTTCAATACTTGGAGAGGCGATATATATGGTTTCGTGGTTGAGATACGAATTGGATCAGGCATATATTGGAGGGAGTTAAAGTAGACTTTTTATCCTTCGTAAATTGCTGTGCTTTCTTAGATGCAAAGTTGTAATGTAACGCTGTGCAGTGACTACAAGTAGTATTTAGGCCTTATGGATTGGGCCTGGCCTGCTGGATGCTGAGCCATTATTCCTTGTCTGCTTTTCCCCCCTCGCGTGGATTTCACGAGCTGGCCTGGCCCACTATGATAAGCCTCCCCCCAACTTCTGCGCTACTGGAAAATGGATAGGGGGCAAAGGGCACGTCGTCGACGGCTCGCCGTTGCCGTTCACGCCGCCGACAGAATCTCCTCCAAGTCCGCTTCTCACCTCCATTTCATCCGCGGGCGGTAACGCTATTTTCAGTCGGAGGTTTCATATTTATATTCCTATAAAAAGTACCATACAAGCGATAAGATATTTAAATGGCGGAATCAGGCATGAGGCAGAGCTAGGGCTTGGGCCCCATACCTAGCTCCATAATCCCCATTATAATCTTGAAAAATGCTATGTAATTTATAAAAATATTTGAGATCCCATTAGTTCAGTCCTAGGCGTGGAAATTTTCTATTGATGGTTAAAATAGTCCATACAATATAATATTGTTTCATTTTTGTTGCTTCATAAACAACATATACAGAGACAAGTTACGTTGAAAATATTGTGTATATAATTTCATCTAGCACACGAGATAGCCTAGGCCTCTAGGGGGTTTAATGGATTAGTTTGTAGGAAAGTCAAAATCATCAAATAAGCTAAAAGTTCTCTAAATTAATAAAAAAAATACAAGTATAAACGTAAATTGCATTTACACCAATCTTAAGTCCAAACTTAAGTTATCCGGTGACTACATATCTAGACTAATCTCCACGGACCGAGACTACAGGATACTATTGCAGTGGTATCACGACAGTTGGACCAAGTGGCGTAGGAGTTTTTTTTATCCAGGATATGGGTGGTGGTCTAGACTACTGATTGATAACCACTAAGATATATGTTTCTTTTAAACTTTTACGCTTGGGAGATATTTCTAGTTGTTTCTTTCTTCTTCTTTTTTTGGCCATGTGCATTTTATATAGAGGTAAGAAGTGACTCGGTTTGATTGTACATCTTGATGCAATTAACTTAATTTACTAAAGCTTCCATTATCTCGAAAGAATACAGATCATCCCTTCATGATCTCAAAACTGAGGCTGTTAGTCTCATGGACTACTGTTATTGTGCCACGTTGTAGGACTGTTTTTTCCAAGTCAGTAGCAATGTGTCAAATACTTCGTCAAACATACAATAGTGTACCTTAAATATAGTCATGCTCAGAATCAAGAGATTGTTACTCTTGCAAAAAAAAAAGAAATAAGAAAAAAAGATAAGGCAGCAAGTTTAGTTCAAACCATCCCCAGCAACTCCTTCCTGTACCTTCTAATTGAGCTCATTTTGATGCGTTTTGTCATGCATTTCAACATCATTCTTCGAAGGTGCATAATACATGTTAGAATGCAAACCAAACAAATTCAATTGACTACCTCCCTCCTCCCCCCCCCCCCCCTAAAATCATTGTACCAGGTCGAAAAGAAATCACAAATACACTAGAAAACTACAAGAATGCCTCCATATGACATCTGAAGGGGCAGCACAATCAGGCAACAAGAAAGGAGGACGATAACTAGATTCACGAGCTAAACTAGAAACAGTATTCTTGGAAAACTCAAGTCACCCTGTTGTGACTTGTGTGAGCTGCAGCTATGAGCTATGGCATTGGCTTGTCCCTTAGCATCTCCAGAGCTTGTGAATGTATTGTATTGACCCGTCAGTTTGTCACTGGATGATTCTTGGGACTCGCATGCCAAATCCGCGCCTCATTTTCTCCACACTGTAATTGTAATCAATCGTCAGAATAGTTACATAACAGATTCAAATAGCACAAACCATTCAGAAAAAAAAGGGTTATGGCCGTGTGGGCCAGAGTAGAAAAACCACACCAATTCAACAAATAAAGAACATAATGTAGTTCCAAGACTAATGCAGAAATTCAATCCTTGAAAAGAGTATCAGAGATTCAGTATCCTGTGTACCAGGATTTTGCAGTACATAAAGGCAACTGGAGATGAAATGAATTATCTTCACAACACTTGTTTAGTCGCAAGGATAGTCGACTAATGTAGCTCTGATATTGATGACATATTTTTGCAAAAGGATTTCTGAAACTATGCATAACTATGATTTTGGAATTGCCTACTGGTGGTGGCACTAGACACCAGGCACGTTATAGATCTGAGGCCAATGCTTTTCTATCATTTCTATTCACTAGTTCACCATAATGACGTACTTCCTCCGTTTCACAATATAAGTCATTCTAGTATTTCCCACATTCATATGGATGTTAATGAATCTAGATGGATATATATGTCTTAGATTCATTAATATCAATATGAATGTGGGAAATGCTAGAATGACTTACATTGTGAAACGGAGGGAGTATATATTAATATGAAAAAAAGAATAGGGCCACAAAAAATAAGAAAGATGAAATGTAGTAGGGCATTACTTCACAACAAGATTCCCAATCCTTCTAACACTTACAAATCTTGCTATTTTTACCACCCTGATTCCTGGACATATTTTAGGGAATGTTGATCAAATTAAAAAAATGTAGTGCCACAAGCCCACAATTACTTCTGACCAACTCAACTGTTGTTAGGCTGTATTCTTTTGTGAAAGGTTTAGAAATTATACTGGGCAGATGGGTGTAGCTGTAGCATAACATGGCATTATGATTATAATCTAACAATCTATATAACCCATATACATCACTGTGTGTCCAAATAGATGACTCTAAAAAAGAGCTAATGGTGAGCACAATCCATTAACATATTTTCCATGATGTCATTGGATTTGTAGAATAAGTTTCCTTGGAAATAGATTTATATGATCCTATGTTGTTAAAAAAAATGGTCCAGGATTAAGTTGTATCACCACAGGAATTAAGAGGCATCGCAAACAAGATTATAGCAATAGCATCTGTCATATTAACTGCAGTTCAGGAGCTAGCCTTGACTACCGAAATAATCTAGATTAATTTGCTTTTGCAGAATTTAAAATGATTAGAATTTAAAGAGATACTTACGTCGGTGCAAGCTTGCCAAGGCCATAAAGCTCTTCACCAGAAACTTCATCTGAAACTTTCCCAGAATTTTCAACTATATAAGATCTGCCAGGGGAATCAGACAGTCCTCGAGACACAAGTAGATCCAAATCCTTCTGATGAAGTTCTCTCCCATTAATAAATATGCCGGTGTTTCCACCACCACAGTTCTTGGGCATAGGATAATTGAACTCTGGAATATAAGGCTGCAAGGAAAAAAAACAACTTAGAGATTTTATCGATAGGATAGCATACAGGAAGAAATGAACAATATCCAAGACAAGTGTTCTTACAGGTATCATGCCAAGGCAGGGTCGCCCCATAACACCCCAGAACCCAGCACGATAATCATACCTAAGTAACAGAACATCAGATCAAAATTTTGTATACTCAAATATTCAATACAAGAAAGAAAGTACACAATAGAATTTTGTTATATTAATGTAGGCGACTATTTAAGTTTCTTTTCAAGATTACTGAAGCATAACTGAAATGCAGGAATCAAAATATAAACCAAACATAGTTTAGCACTCTGCAGCCTGAGGAATTTTACCAGTAATCACCAGGACAGATTTCTCCAGCTAGCTTCTCAGCCTTCCTGACTGCACGGTCAGAGATAGGAAAGCCATTAACAAAAATCCTTGCTCTTCCATTGCGTGTTCCATTGTTCATTTTGAAGCTCCTTTTAATGAGATTGGTTAGAAATGAATCGCCTGCCTTTGTAGACCTAGTATGGCCAACATTTTGTGGCAAATTTAGCATATCTTGTGCATATAAAGTATCATCAAACTCATCGACTGGAGACTGTGTCTCATTGGCTACACATACATCTTTAATTGAGTTCCGTTTGCAACTTTCAGTAAATAGGATAGCCTTTTCATGTTCAGAATGGGTACTTCTACTTCCCTTTCCAGAATCTTCCGATGGTGAGAATCCACAACGATCATGATGCGGTAAACTTGGTACATGGGAAATTACATTGGCTTCAGAAGGAAGATCCCTGGACTGGGGAGTATTTTCAGAATCAGTCCCTAGAGGAGTGTGTTTGCTATCTGATTCACTTGAATTTGATTCTAGATCTTTTTCTTGAGATTCATGACTTCCATTAGAAAAACAATATTGTGGAAGCAACCTCTCATCAGCATTAGCATGCCCATTGTTTCTCATGCTATCACCAATACCATTTTGCAGTGCAGCAGATAAATTTATACCGGGCGCAGGTTCTGAAACATTGAGCCTGCTTCCATCAAGGTTGACTAGAATTGCATGTGAGCATGATCCACACATCAGCTTATACTCCTTTCCCAACAAAGAATGTTTCATTGGTATTCGCAGCACTTCATAGCAATTGTAGCATATGGTGAAAGGGGCACCACCTGCAATCGGCTCACAAGTTTGTGCCGGTTTCTTCCTTACATTGGTCCTCAGGTGATTCCTCTGTAAAGAAGTATTAGTACCTCTTGAAGTGTATCTCTGCTGACCATATAGGGGACCCTCTACAGGATATGCTCCATAACTGTTCATAAGGTATGGTGCCCTTTGATCAGTAAAACCAAGGGGAGTTCCCTGTACAGGCAAAAACTCTCGGTGGTAACAATTGAAGCAAGAACAGACGGGCTGATGGTACAAGCCTTCATGGTGACATGAGAGCAAAGGGTCAGGATCATGATGTCCAAAGAAGAAATTATCAACATTTCTGCAGGGGTAACCAGCACCAGCATGATAGCTAGAGGCTCTCGCATGCGGGATGGGCTCTGCATATCCATGAAGATTCTGTCGAGTAGGCAATGGAGCATGGACTTGTGGGATATTAGGACTTTGCACATTCAAGGATGGCGAGTGATGAGAACCATTCCAATGCAATACAGATGGATCATGCCTCAGCTGATTTGGCTGATCATGCGCACCATGTGAACTTGAGGCATCTGCAGGTCTATTAGTTGTAGCACTTCTACTTGGTGCATCAGTAACCTCACATGATTGCTGCACCTGGTCTCTCAACTCATCAAGCATCTTCAAGAGCTCAGCACGATCTTTCTCAAGGCCCCTAACTCTGCTTGGACCATCCAAGTCCCTATCATTGGCATGCTCCCTGTTGGAGAATCTGTATTTTGACTGTAATTGGTAGTTGACAAGGCTTTCCGCTTGGTAAGAGGTGGGTGGAATTCCATCGATTGGAGACCTCGGAGATATGTCAGATATACCTCTTCCTCTTACTGATTTCATCATGTCAGCATTTTCCACATTACGGATGCGCATGTACTTTGCCTCCCTACCATCGTTTCTAATAGTAGCTTCACCTGTTGAAGTACTTGGACCTCTTGCCATTCGATTGTCTTCATGGTTGTAAACTGATCTACTGTGCAAAGCTGAAATTCTATTGGGTATAGATCTACCATCAGCGGTAGCACCATCCATTGCTTCAGGCGCCTCCGCAACACTCTCTAGTACCTCAAGGTACTTCACATGTCCATTATCAGAGTTATCAGAACCTTGGGCTGAGTACTTCTTCTTTGCTGAAAAATGTTCAGAAGATGAATGATGTCATCTCAATATTCAATTGACCACTTCATTCCTAACAAAGGAGGGTTAAAGGATGCAACTCATGCAAGTCAAATTATGTTATTATTAACTAGGATATGACAAGGATGTGCTGCACAAGAAGACCACTTCTCCAAGCCCCAGCACCAATGGCATTGCGATTGACCCCCCAAAGCAACGTTGGCAAGCACAATTGGGGACTAAAATGCAACTAGAATCCCATAATAATCGCAATCCACAGGATTTATATAAAAACTACTCAACCATCACCCAAAATCTTAAGATATTTAGGTCAAATCCAACCCATGTTTTGTTTGTCAAGCCCCATGTAATCTATTCAGGAAGGCATAGAAGTAACTGCAAAAGAAGAGAGAACGAGTCTGCAATGGTGTAGTTGGCAGACTGGCAGCCATCTTTCAAGTTTCAGTGAGCAAGATTTTTTTCGCAAATATTAAGATTACATCAGTGTAGAAATTTACATTTTTCCAAAAGAATTGAGTAAACACTATCTGCCCATTGTAATAAGGCACTAGGTTGAAATTGATAAAAAAAAGTTCGTTTCAAAGAGGGCAAGTTGAGAATTCAGATTAAACCCTCAAAGTACAGAACTTTCTTGAAAGCATAAAACAGCTGACAATATTTGTCGGCATTAAACAAAGTCTTCCTAAAATTTGCTGCAAACATGACGACTAGTTGAGCAAATCAAAAATTTTCCGCAGCCGCAAGTGTCAGTGTCACCAAAGACAAAGTCCATGTGCGAACTTTGATGCACCAATAATCCCGACAATTCCCAAATCCATCACAGTTCAGCAAGCACACGAAATCAATCAATCAACCAATCAATTAATTAACTAACTAACTAATTAACCCGGATTCTTTGCAGAATGGGTCGCAAGAGAATGAACAGAAAAAACGAGAAGAAAAAAAAATCATGCAAACTATACTACGAATGCAATCGACGATCAAACAGAAAAAAAAAAGGCCCCAAAATTCAACCAATTGGCTGCGAAAGGGAACCACACGGCGAGGCAATGAAGAGAAGGGCGGCGCACCTTGGAGAGCGGCGCCGCAGCCGCCGCAGACGTAGACGGAGTAGGCGGGGAGCTCCGGCAAGAACTTGTCGCACTTGGGGCACCGCACTAGCCTTATCCTCGCCGCCGCCGCCGCGCCCTCGTCCCCTTCCATTCCCGACCTGCGGCTGCTCCCACCCTCACCACCGCCGCCGCATCAAACCAAGGGAAAACGAACGCCTCAAGAACGAGCACCAAGGCACCCAAACCAAAAAATCAAGAACGCCAAGAAGCCCCCAACCACGAGCAGAGAACCGAGACGAGGCCTTGTCAGGAGGCCATTGGCGGCGACTCGTGGTTCGGAGGGAGAAGAAGAGAGGGAGGAAAAGATCAAAAGAGCGGGCTGCTGTTTGGCGGGTCGAGGAGAAGAAAACGAAGCGAAGAGGAAGGGTGGTTGCGAAATAAATCGAGGTGGTCACGAGGCGGCGAAGGCCATCGTCCCATCTCCCGCGGTCTGCACTGCTCAGCTTTTCCCGCGGCTCGCGGCTGCTGCGGCGGTCGTCTTTTGTGCTGCCTGCGACTGCGACGAGGCACGCTGACGCAGACGGCGCAGTGGTGGTGGGCGACCATTTCGGATTCTTTTGTTTGTTTACTTGTTTTTTTGCACGCAAAGGATAGGTAGTTCATCACACACACGTTGCTCCTACTACTACGATTCTGGTTTTCGCGAGCTGGCGATCGATGGTGGTGACGCTCTTGTTGTACTTGCGGCAGCAATTTCAGCGTGCCAGAGATATCACATGGAGAACCAAATCTGGAAAAAGGAAGAGATGAAGAGCCAAACTTTTCAACCACATTCAATTAATTGCTTACTCTTTGTAGTTTCAAAAAAAATATATTTGATGGGCAAGTACTCGAGTGATATAGGGTGGAAGCATCTTCTAAATAAAGATGATATTAATGGCAAACTATGTCTAACTACCCGCCAGGCCACCACCGATGCCCTCCTCGTCGCAGAGCGAGCTACTAAAAAGCCCACATAGAACTAACGATTGTGGGATTCAAAATAGCGTCTGAGCTTTAGAAATGGCATGAGCGAGGAGCAGGAACAAAGACATTAGAGGCGACGCCGTGACGAGCCATCTTACATCAGGGGTAGTGGCAAGTGGTGCGGGTGAGATAGTGCGGTGATAGCACAAAAGAGCCGAGGGCCCGAGATGGTAGGGAGTAAGACAATAAGGGCGAAGCATCACAGTGAATGTGCGGCGGCCCATGCTTCTCGGTGTGGGTAGGTCCAAAGACGGATCCAGTATGTGTGCTGGGGGGACTCGAGTCCCCCTACCCTGCTGGATCACCATTAATAGAAGGAGAAAGGGGAGAGGGAAGAAGAGAGAGAGAGGAGAGAGAGTAGCGGGGCTGAATGACTAAGAAGGAGATTTGAGTCCCTCCTCTAATCTTATCTTATATCCGTCCGGGTCACTATGGATGTTAGTTGATAGGCTACTGTAAGTTGGTAGGGACGACTAACTGTGCGCGGTGGTCTAAATCTAGGCCACGAAAGGGCATATTAGGTTAGTTGGGCCCTTGTGGTGACGTGGCAATACAGATGATCGCAGTGGGTAGTCCTCTCAATTGCTAGACATGCCTCTTTCTCTCCTTTGGTGCCCCTCACTATGTCCCATCAGCTTCCAAATATGGTCACGGGGGAGTTTCAAGATAGGGGTGGAGGTGGTGCCTAGAAACTAAGACGGCTAAAAGTCGCCTCTCTTGATTCATGTGGACATGGCGGCTACTTCCTTCGATTCACAATGTAAGTCATTTTAGCATTTTCCACATTTATATTGATGTTAATGAATCTAGATAGATATGAATATAGGAAATGCTAGAATGACTTACATTGCGAAACGAATGACTTACATTGCGAAACGGAGGGAGTACAATGGAGTCGGCGTGCAGAGGTCTCTTGGAGAAATGTGGTCTGCCCGTCAGTAGGGTAAAGAATGTGTGTTGGCAAAAATTGGGTGGTGGAGGGGTGTTGGGGCTTTTATGATAAGGTGGTAGGCAACATGCAAAAATATATAAATAGTAAACTTATCCTTATAGTCAAGTATATCAACTTCCATACATCAATCAATGAAACGGAACATTATATATTAGGGGATGATGTGAAGAAAAAATATATCATCCTTAAGTTTTTTCTCCCAAAACTCCCAAAAAATGTATAATAATATGTCATAGGCAAAATATATACATATATTTATCAAATATGCTAGTATTGTTTGTCTGTTTATTTAAATATATGATATTAATTTGCTTTATACACATATTAGACTATTGCATAATATCAGAAAATTTTGGGCACTAATATATAGACAGTATAAAAGTAGTGGGTTGTAGTATATTATATACCAGTTATATATAAGTTAAAAGTTAACTATTATAATTATAGTTATATTTTTTAAAAAATATCCAAATAACTTGTGAAAGGTTTTTTTGATAGTCCGTTTTCTAGATATCGAAGTTCAGGGTAAATGGACATGTTTTGTCTCCGTCTTGTATTGGACAGATTAAGAAGCGTGTACAGCTTACTTTCTGGTGTCTAAATATGGGAACATGTTTCCAGGCTGTCAAGGATATTATCGCACCAGCAAATCAGTCAGAAGTACACTATTCAACGTATACAAGTAACAGGTGGAGAAAAGGTCATGAATCGCCCACGTAAAAAATGTTGAATTAACCAGCTTATTAATACGGATTAACTTTCTGACTTGAGTAGCTGTTCCATACACTGCCGGAGAAAGGACCTTCCCTCCCCGTTCGTAACAATATAGTCATGGTTATACAACCGCCGATTATACAATTGGGACCGTAAATTTATGACTGTAGACCATGAATCAAGGATTAAAGATCTTGGTTGAAATAACCGGACCAAAAATCATCTTTAGTTCCCACGTGGCTGAATTTCCCATCTGTACTCCTTTTTTTTCTTTTATTTTTAATTATTTTTTCTACTTATATTGATTTCAAACCAATCTCAACAACAAAATCATCCCCATTAACAAAACATCACAAAATTATCCACAGATTCACAGATCCAATAAACATACTCAAATTGACATCACAAATTCACATATCCACAGTATGAACAAATTCACAGGAAAAATTTGCATCCACATAGCCCGCCTCCGATCTCTGCACAGGCCACTGCCCGGTGCTGCTCCCCGCCCGGCGTGGCGCTGGCCGCCGCCACCGGCCCCCCGCCGCCGCCCGACATGGCTGCTCGCCCGGCACTGCACCTCGCCGCTAGAAAATAGTTAAAGATGAGAGGATGAGAGGATAGAGATAAGATAGAGAGAAGAGAGAGAGGAGGAGGAAAGGTAGTTACGGATGAGGAGGAGGTGAGGATAAGTCTTAGGAATTATATACGGTGCACCGGGAATAAAGTTGGTGGGACACCTGACCTATTTTGAACCGGGACTAAAAATGATCTTTAGACTAAAGATCGTAAAATTTTAAACCGGGACTAAATATATTTTTTCTACATCTAACTAGCTAATCCTAACCGCTATAGAGAAGATATTACTAGGGAAAACTGATCTTTGATGGGTCATGCAAAATCCACATTAGTACTAGTTCGAGTAGGAACTAGGACTAAATAATCCTAACCGCTATAGAGAAGATATCACAAAGTTCCTACTCGAACCGGGACTAATGTAGATTATACATGACCCATTAAAGATCAGTTTTTCAGTAGTGATATCTTCTCTATAGTGGTTAGGATTAGCTAGTTAGATGTAGAAAAAAATGATATGTAAGTCATTACATATTATTAATTAAATATTATCTATTGTAAACTCTAAAAATAGATTTATTATTTTTTAAGAAATTTCTCTGTATAAAGTTTTAAGACAACAAAAATATACCAAAAAGTTAGCCAAAAAGCACTAAGTGTTGTGACTTTAGTTATTTTGGGAGCTCACCTTAGGTTGTGTTGGAATGTGTACTTTTCCAACTTCACTACCTAGTTTTCTGGTCGCATGCTTACCAAATCAAAACCGTGCATTTTTTTCAAAAAAAATAGGGAAGTTGCTTTTAAAAATCCTATTAATCCATTTATTTTTTAAAAAATAGCTAATACTTAATTAATCATGTGCTAATGAGTCACCCCATTTTGTATGCATCAAGGATTAGCCCCAACTCAATGTGTCAAACACAGCCTTAAGCTTCATAGTCAGATAGCCTTAATCTTAAGGCATGATCACAGGAAAATATTAATATATTTTTTCACTGTTCAATATCTATTTCTCTGGCTTGTTAGGAAGCTTTTTTTTTTCAGTGGACCCATCATAAAGTTCTTCAAAAGAGTTAACTATTATAGACACGTCCATAACTATTGCTCATGGGTCCCATCCTTATTACCCATACACATACAGTCACAAACATTCTTGCCCTTAGCACAAAACACGGATTGAGATCAAATACAGTCACAACTACGACTGAAAGTTAATGACTGCATGAGATCTCATCCATTCATTTTCCCAACGAAGGGTGTAGATTAAGTGCTACAGTGCCACTGGCTATAGTAGATGTGATGTTTTTTTCCATGAACAGTGCTTAAACAATCTCAACCGTTGGATGGAGTTTTAATAGACCCTATATGTCTGCTTAAGTTGCAGTCACACTAGGAACTGCATAGGAACCTAATCCACAAAACACATTGTTTAACAGTTGGGGAGACATGCTCATGGTAATTAGGCCATTTTTTAATTTTCACTCACAACAACTTCCTGCTTTTTTTTTACTCCGTAGCAGGCTTCCTAAAACTGCTAAACAATGTGTTTCGTGAAAAAAAAATGAATACCAAAGTTTCTTTAAAACTTTAATAAATCCTTTTTTTAGAATTTATAATAGTTAATACATAATTAATCATATGCTAATGAACTTTTTTTTGCGTGTGCTAAAAATATCCCTTCAACCACAAGAAACTAACGCACCCTTATAGCATCTCCAACAGTCTCTTTAAATATGACTCTCCAGATGCTCATTTAGCTAATTTGACAGTAGAATAGAGAGCCAATTTTGTTTTCCACTCCAACAACCTTCCTATTTACACTATCCAATCTAACAATGGGTACCATATATTAGTCTCTATATACTTCTTTCTCTATCGAATCTTTCCTCTCCTCACCGTTGGCTACCCATGAGTCCTGCAGTATCGCCTCTGCCCAAGCCGCCCGCCACAGCCAACTGTCTCGGCGCCACCCAAGCCAACATCGCTACCTCAACATACGTATAGAAGGGCGAGCAACTCTAGTGAGATAGGGGGAGAAGGATGATGTTGACCCGGGCGGCGATGTTGCCTGTGGATGTGGAGCTGACGACGGCGGTGACACTGCTACTCATGAAAAATCCGCGGTGGCAGTGGCGGCTTCACTCGTAGATGCATCTGTCGACAGCCGCTTCTTCGTCGCATGTGGATCTGACAACGACAGCCGACGCAACCTCGGTGACAACGGTGAATGAGGCGAGTATGGGAGGAGAGGCGATCGGCATCGAAGGGGAAGCAGTGGTGGCGCGAGACAATGATGGGCGACAGCGTGGTGACATCGTCTGACGGCGCACGGTCTACTGCCGTCTTACGAGGTTATGGCAAGGAGAGAGAGATGGGATGGAGCAGTGGTACCCACGTTTGGTCAGGCAAGATGACTCTCCAAGGT